ACATAATCGGGTTCCTAAATCATTCCCACATGTGAGGTTCAAAGTAAACACGACACTACCCTGCTCTCATTTTCAATTGCATTGCCGTTGGGGTTAAATCCAAAAAGCTAAGGAAATCACTGTTTCCAGTATTCGGATAAATTGGAGAGCTTCGAATGCCTCATCAGTGTTATGCTCATACCCCTTGCAGTGCAGCTCAGCTTTGCGCTCCTTCACCCTTGTTTCTCTGTCCATCTCTTAGCAATTATTGCCAATTGTCTGGACGCTGGCCTTGCAGCCCACGGAGTTTCCACCATCAGTGGGAAGAGCCTCCATCTTCCTGGACGGGATGTTGTGTGCAGACACAGTCCCGAGGGCTGCCTGTTGTAGTGCAGTGCTCTAGCCCTCTCTGTGCTCCTCCCGTCACAGCTCTGGGCACAGCCCTGGCACCTGATTTGATTCCACCTGTTGTTCCCATAACCAGAGGCTCTTTCATGGATGCCCCGTGGCCAAGTGCTGTCTGTGGCTGGGCATGTTGCCTTGGACTCCACCCGGTGAGGGTTCCAGACACTTCTGTGACTGTCCCGCTCACTGCAGTGCCCCCAGCTCCCAGCATGGGCCTGGTGCGCACAAAACAGCTGTCAGTGACCGTTCGCTGAATGATGAGAAAACAAGCACTTGATTACTTGATCTTCCTTCCTTCCTTCCACTTTGTCAGCAAACATTCTTGGATAGCTCACTGTGCACCATCCACAGGGTAATATGCGGGCACAGTGATGTGGTCCAGGTCAGAGAGGAACCCAGAGTCCTTGAGGAGGCATCCTGTGAAGCGTGTCCACCCAGTATGGTCACTGGCTATTGGGTTGGTGACAAGATGTAGTGACTGCATCAGCCAAGGACCCATGGAGCTGGAGTCCTGGCAGCTACCCTCATTAGGCGGCCCCTGAGCTGGGTGGTGAAGGACAGATAGGAGTTGGCCAACTAGAGGAACAGGGATAAGGAGTGGGAGAGGGGTCATTCCCAACACCAGGTCCAGTGTTTTTAAAGGTACAGAAGCCTGGGAGCATAGCACTTTTTAAAGTTGGTACAAGCAATTTTACAGTGCTGGAGAACAAAATGAGATCTGAGTAGTGATTGTGAAAGTGAGCGGATAGGCAGGGGCATATACTTTCTTTTTCTTTTTCTTTTTAGTGGCATATATTTTCAATACTTCCAGTACCTAGTAGTATACTGAATATATGTAGCATTTATCAATTTATCATTACATTACTTGTCAATTCACATAATTGTTTCCCACTCAAGATTGTGCGTTCCTTGAGGATCACCTTGCAAGGAGCAGGTTTGTAGCAGTTGCTCAATGAGCACTGTTGGATGGATGGGTGGATGAGGGGAGAGGCGAATGGGTGGACGGATGGATGGATGCATGAACAGGTGGATGGATAATAGCTGAGTGGATGAATGGACAGATGAGTGGGTGGATTTGTGGATGATAGGTGAATGACGAAGCATAGATGTTGGATGGACGGGGATGTGTGGATAGACAGGCAAACGGATGGATGAATAAATATGTACATTAAACTGAAAATACATAGTTCCCAACTTTGTATCTGAGGAGCCCAATAATTTCCCTGCTTCTATGGCTGCTCTGTTCCTCCTAGGCTTTCTCTGCCAGATTTCTCCAGCTTCAGGAGATTTTTCCCTCCAACCATCCTGCTTTCTTGGCCAAGTGATGCCAAGAGGCAGGGAAAGGTCACAGAGCCAGTTTTTTCCCACACCCCCAGCACGAAGAGTGGAAGGATTCTTTCCCCAAGGCTGGGAAGGAACCCTTCGTGGGACATCATGAGAGTAGGGTCCATGCTGCAAACTGGAGCAGGGAGGGCAACAGGGAATGTCAGGACCCCTCCATCCAACCTCGCCGCCGCAGGCTCCAGACATGTGTCTTCATTGCCGTCAGCAGAGCATGCAGACTCCGCCAAACGCTTGGATGCTGCTCTGGTCCTTGAGTGCAAAGGTCAGCGCTCATCTCTGAGACACCCAGTAATACGATCCTCTGGCTGTTTTTAGATTCATAAGCCTTAATATCTCAACCCCACAACTGTTGCATCCCACCCCCTTATTGCCCAAAGGCTGATCGGTTCAAAAAAATTTCCTTCTTTTGAGAACATCTTTGACCACCTATTCCAGAAACTACCTAACCTTAGCCTGACCTACTTGTTAGGGCTCTGGACAAACTCAACTCTTCTTCCCTAAGGCAGAACATTCCTGGGAGTGGTGTCAAGCTCTGGAATTCCGATGAAAGTTTTATACTTACCCATTCTCTGTGCTCTGGTTCACCTTCCCCTGAAGGATACGTCTCCCAGATGATGCCAGTTATTTGTCAGGAAGGAAAACTGAGAGACAGGGAGTTCTAATATGGGCTGAGCAGACCTGGGGCTTCAGCTCAGGTCACCTTTGGCACATCAGAAGGAGGAATCGAGCCCCACTCAGGCACTCTTTGAGTTTCCTCCAGGAAGGCAGCACATTTACTACTAAGAGGAGGACTATTTTGAGTTTTGGCTAATAAGATTTTGTTTGGCCAGCAAGCAGACCTGCAGATATTTTGATATTCTAGAAAGAAAGTAGGCCAGAAGTATCTCCCTTCGTTTTCCCCTTGATCTTTCAGTTAATGGTCAATGACTTTATACATACAATTGTACATACAATCGTAACAAGTGCTGGACACTGGGTCCGAAATTATCCAAGCACATGCATCACTAAGAGGCCCAGATGGCTGCTTGCACAGCTTCGTGTTCCCAGATTATTGGATATGGGGGATTATCGGATTATATTACCATAGGTTACATCATGTTCCTCCTCTGGATTCTTCTAGTCCAGCTTCAAGCTGACCCTCACCAGCCCATCCCTTTTGACCATCATTCAAGCAAAAAATGCAGGTGAGCAATAACCTGCCACAACTCTAGCTTATTTATCTGTAGTTGTTATTATACAAGGGAGCACTTGAGAAAGAGCTCTGTCCATGTGGCAAAGTCCTGTAGCTGTTGTAGGTCTTGTGATAGAGAGTTCACATACTTTACTTCGCAACTTCTTACAAAGAAGATACAACTTTCTCACTTCCCCTTGAAAATATGGAAGAAAAAAATCGTAACAACCTACTGAAATTTGTACTGAAATAAAAGCAAAATTTAACTGCTCTTATACACAACGGAGTCACGCTCTTTTGTTAAAGTCATCCATTCGGAAAAATAGAAACATGATTTAGACCTTTTCTGAACCTGTTCCTTTACCTGTTAACCTTTGGAAAGTGAATTAAAGCTGCTGGAAGGTGCTGAGTTAACTGCTATTGAATCAAGGACCATGGAGACGGATGTCTGCTCTGGAGCCGTGTGGTGGGCTGGGCACTTGCCAGGGGAACTAAAAACACATCAGAATGACCTTGCCATACATCAAAGGCTCCTCTGAAATTCAGAGAACACCCATCCACAGAATGTTTCTCCAGGAGCAACTGTAGCAGTGACAGTAATCATAGTAAGAGTAGCAACAGTGGCAGTAACACATCCTAACCCTATTTTATTTTAATGTTTTAAAGATGGATTTATTTTTGAGAGAGAGATTGTGGGTGCGAATGGGGGGAGGGGTGGAGGGAGTGAAGAGCCCAGCTCAGGGCCTAATCTCAGGACCCGGATATCACGACCTGGGCCAAAACCAGGAGCCAGATGCGCAACTGGCTGAGCCCCCAGGCACCCCCCTACTAACACCATTTGAAATGCATACTTTACTCTGACATTTCACATGTGCTAACTCAGGTGACAGGGCCACCATCAAAACTCCTAATTCTAACTGAGGTTAAAACTTCTCCCCAGTGGCCACTATTAGTATGGATGTTTAAATGTTCTCAAAGCTAGACAACGTGACAGAGTTTCGTCCCCAGGCTGCCAGTCAGAGTTCCTGGTCATGAGAATGGAGACCAAGAGAGGTGGGTGTACCATTCGGCTTCCCCTGCCTGTTTCTCTAGAGCCTCCAGCTCAAAATGCTGTCAAGATCCTGTTCAGAGAAAAAGAATTAGAAGTGTCACTCTATCTCCACCATTCACTTTATACACATCAGTAACCACTAAAGAGATTCTGGGCAGTTGGGTCTTGTCTTGCATGGCCAGAGTGAAGGAGTGCCCTGGGGTTTTTTTGGTGTGTAGTTGGTTGGTTTGTTGTCTGTTTCAGAAAACCCATACCAAAGGCGTGGATGGTGTGGTGAGTTGAACTGGAAGACATAAGACACCCAAAGTAGCCGGACCTTTTAAACCCACGTTTGTCATCCGCTGTTGGAAAAGGAGGATTGCGTTTGTGGCTTGGCTTCTAGTCTAATATTTACGACAAAGATCAGCTTTGGTTCCATGTTTCTGAAAATTGAAGAAAGGTTCAGACATCAGAGTGTAATTTAATATACACAGAAGTAACATTGTGCATTTTCTCTTCAGTTTGATGTGACTTAAAAACAAAAAGATTCTGGGCTAACTGCTTTGCTCTAATTGGATAGAGGTCGGGAGTGGTGATCACCCTAGTCACCACGGACCTTCGTATGTTGAGTCCCCCAAGCAGGCGCCAGCTCTCCCTGGCCACGCGTGGCAGGGGCTCAGGAAAAGGCAGATGTGACCGTGACCGTGAGCAGTCCTATCTTCCCCCTCGGTTTTCGTGGCTGGCAGATGGCTCCCACGTGGGCGACCCACGTGGCCACGCAGCAAGTCAAAGGGAATGAAGCCATCCTGACCAAGTTCCCCTTCATTTTCTGACTCACATACAACAACAGACTTAAAATGCCACCTCAGCAACCTCACACCCAGCCATGTGTCATTCTTCAGGCAATGTCAGATGCTAAACAATGAAAAAAGTGCACTTTTTGTCAATGACAGAAACGAAAGAAAGAACAGTCATGAGTTAGATGCTCTTTCTGTATATTCCAAGGTCTGTATTTTAACACAGTAATGAAAACAAAGCATGTGCAGAATATGGTAACATTTTTACGCTTTATTTTTCTTTCATTTTTTTTTAAAGAAATTCTTCCTCCCACATGATAGAAAGCTCTTTCCTCAGGAGGCTGTGTTATATATTATTATGACCCACACCGCTTGCTCTTTCTGAAGCCATGGTTGGGACCAGCAGTGACCTACTGAGTACATTTCATACCCCAAGCAGATCACCGTTTAGCATCACCTCCTACATCATTTCCAGCAGTAATTCTGTTAATGAAATACATAATGATAATAATGGCAGGAAGGAAACACAGTAAAAATTCCCTTTTATTGAACTTGATCTATGTGTATATAATTGTGCCAGTTAAGCCACTAATACATTTTCTTGAAAAACAAGGGGAACTTAAAGCTACATATTGGTCTAATACCTGAATGAATTACATTGCAGTGTCTAATTTTGACTCTTAATTTTGGCATATTTGTCAAAATTAACGTCTTAGCACATTCATGTTCAATGTGACATAGAACAAGATTTGCCCGATTTCTTCACCCCTAGCTAATCAAAAAATACTTCTTAATTTTAATTACGAATTTTTTTTCACATGAGCAAACAGATTTAAGAATTGTTAGGAAAAGTCTTACATACAAGCATGGGCTCGTCAGAGATTTCTGAAAATCACATTTCACAATAAATTCCAGAAGTTGAAATAGAGTTGGTATCTTTGTTTTTCAGGATTGAGTCTAAAGGCTTCAAATGTCTCTGCAGCTGAAGTATTTTCCTGAAGATATCTGCCCCAGAAACTTCACGATCAACTTCTGTGAAGGAAAAGACATCCAAAGGAATCTGAGAACATGACTGAATGTTAACAAACATTGAGAATATTTAAGCCATGGCTTTTGGAGAAGTGTCCAGTTCTTGGTGAAATTAATAAAAACCATTCAAACAAGCCCTGCTGTTCCTTCTGGCAACACGAAGACAGTATCTTTTGTCCTTTCCCCTGACATTCTGCCTTGAAATTTGATTTTTTTTTCTGTGTAAATTTCCATTTGCTTCTACTTTATGGTTTCAGAGTTAATGGCTTTCTCCATTGCGTCTATGTACTGATCTTCAAGAAGTGATTTTAAAGCTTGAGTTTACTATATGATTTTTAGTGTTGGTTCGGGATGTTTGTAAATATTTTTTACTGATTTACTTGATTTAAAATTTCACATCAGAAAAGAAAAGATGGCTCAGAGAAAACATTGCGTACAGCAGAGAACAAAAATCTAAGAAGCACCTCTGGTGGCCGCGCTGATGTTCAGATTGCAATGCACTTCAAAGGTTTAGGTAGACTTTTCAATATTTGCCTTTGCTCCATGCAGAGCTTCATAATGAGCATATCATTTCAGCAGGGAGAGCCTTTTCATGGTTCGACTTCTATTTTAGAGCATTTTTCACCTACAAAAAGAGATGGAAAGGAATAAATTATTGTTTTCCAAATGTTAAAAAAGCCACCAGGAAAGAAAACTTCAAGGGGTCACACAATAACAGAACTGAAGGAACTCAAGTTCTGTTTCTTTGTGTTCATAGTATCTATTGCTACCACGTTAAGTTTTGTATTTCCTGCTTAAATGCAGCAATATATAATTCTGAGGCTGGAGGCATGGAGTGAACCCAAAGCAAGCTCTAACAATGCTGAACTCCTACAAATTTGCTCTCAAAATAAATGCAGGAACTTTCACTCATCACTGGTGGGAATGGAAAATGAGACAGCCACTTGGGAAGACAGTTTGGCAGTTTCCTAGAAGTTACTTTTTTTGAAAAAGAAAAAAGGAAAATAAAAACTTAGTATTTGACCCCGAAATCCCACTCCTATGTGTTTATCCAAGTGAATTGAAATCTTATGTCTACACAGAAGACTCCCTTTGATAGGTGAATGAGTAAGCAGCCATATATTCATACAACAGAATACTGCTTGGTGATAAAAAGAAACCTGATACCAATTCATACAACCACATGGAGGAATCTTAAAGACATTTTTTTCTTTTTTTAAAATTATTATTATTTTTTAAATTTTTATTTATTTATGATAGTCACACACACACACAGAGAGAGAGAGAGAGAGAGAGAGAGAGAGGCAGAGACACAGGCAGAGGGAGAAGCAGGCTCCATGCACCCAGAGCCCGACGTGGGATTCGATCCCGGGTCTCCAGGATCGCACCCTGGCCCAAAGGCAGGCGCCAAACCGCTGCGCTACCCAGGGATCCCAAGACATTTTGATAAATGAAAGTAGACTTACCCAAAAATCCACCTGTTGTATCGTTCTAATCATATCTCAGTCTGGAAAAGGCAAAATTATAGGTATTGAAAAGATCAGTGGTTTGTCAGGGGTTTTCTAAGAAAAGGAATCAAGGCTAAAGTCTTTAGGAGAATTGCCATAGTGCATCAGGGTTAAGAAATGAAAATCTAAATTTTTAAAAAAATGAAGAAAAAATGAAAATCTAAGGGCAGACAATCACAATCACAAATAGTCAACTAGGCTATCCCAAATAATTCCACCACTTACACCATAGTCAACCAAAGAATTTCCTCACTTTGCTTCCCTCTCTTTTCTAGAAAAGTCCTTCTCCTAGTTCCTGCCAGGGGAGTGGTCCTAACAGCTTCTGTTTTGATGCTGTTCCATTTGAATTGATTTTTGTTCAAATAAAATCTTAAAATTTTTCACCATGCCTCAGTTTATCTTTACCAATGTATACAATGGAATACTATTCAGCCATGAGAAAGAAGGAAATTCTGCCATTTGCAATGACATGAATGAACATAAAGTAAAATAAGCCAGAGAGAGAGAAAGACAAATAATGTATGATCTCTCTTATACAAGGAGCCTTAAAAAAAAAAAAACTCAAAGGGTCAGAGCCATAGAAATAGAGAGTAGAATGGTGGTTGCCAGGGAGGGGCTGGAGGGTGATGAAATGGGAGACACTGGTCAAAGGTTAAAAGTCTCCAGTTACCGGGTACCTGGGTGTCTCAGTCCGTGAAGCATTTGCTTTTGGCTCAGGTCACGATCCCAGGGTCCTGTGACCCAGCCCCACAATGGGCTCTGTGCTCAGTAAGGAGCCGGTTTCTCCCTCACCCTGCCTCTCCACCTGCTTGTGTTCTCTCTCTCTCTCTCTCTCTCTCACTCTGTCAAATCAATCAATCAATCAACCAATCTCTAAAAATAAAGTCTCCAGTTACAAGATAAATAAGGTCTGGAGAATCTCATGTGCTGTATGGCGACGACAGATGATAACATCGGTAGTATGTATCTGAAGGTTGCTAAGAGGAAATCAAGTATTCTCATCTCACACACACAGATGGTAACCATGTGAGGTGATAAATGTGTTAACCTGATTGTGATAATCACTTCACAGAATATATGTATATCAAATCATCACACTGTACATTTTAAATACATACAATTTTATTTGTTTATTATACCTCAGTAAAGCTGGGAAAATTTTGAACAATTCCTGCGGCTTTCTGATTTCTTCCACTGCACATTTAAAAAAAAATTATTCCATTCTTCTCTCACCTTCAATATATCCTTCCATACTCTTGGTGTTTCATTGACTGGCTATATTCTAACTTCCCAACATATGAGCTTAAATCATTGACTTTTAAGCTTTTTTAAAAAAGAATTTAGATCCATGCATGGAGACCCAGGGAGCAGCGACGAAGCCGCATACATCAAATTTTGGTACGTCCCTTTTTTTCTTCTTCAAAATATTTTCTAATTTCCTTTGTGATTTTTCTATGACTCATGGGTTATTTTGTATGTTGCTTATTTTTTAAATATTGGCGGGGGGAGCTTCTAGTTTCATTTAGGTACTGACTTTGGATTCTTAGAAAACCTGTCATATGGTCTCCACCTTTTTGAAAGTTGATCTACTCTGGCAGACACTTAGTGTAAACTAGAACTGTTTACAGAGCCCTGTACTGAAGGGGCTGGTGTCAGGATGCTCTGTATGTCTATCAATCCCATTGGTTTTGTTGCTAAAAGTCTTCTAAATGTTTACTGTTTTGTCTGCTTGTTCTTTCTGCTAAGAATGTTGTATTACATTTTCCAATCGGAATTTTAGATTTGGCTTGTCCTTTTAGCTTTTCTGACAAATGTATGTATTTTGGAGCTATGTTAGTGCATACATAGGGTTTTCAGGTCTTCCTTATTAGCTCTAGTCACCATGAAAATATTTCTACTAGTATTTCTTTACGTTTCCTGTTTATGTTAAGTGCATCTGCTTTCTTGTGTGCATGGCATGTCCTTTCCCAAACTTTCGAACTTAAAGTATGTCTTGGATCTTCTCAACAGCATATGGATGGGTTTGCTTAACATTCTTTCTTTTACTTGGATTGTTTCATACCCTTAATACAACTACTGAATACTTTGGACAGGGGGTACTTGGTTTGTTCAGCACATGCTCTGTAAATAAACCCAGGATAGGAAGATTTATGAAATTCAGCTTTCCAGGAAATGTTCCAGTAACTGTGATTTTTGTCATGTAAAATGAAGCCATTCCCTGATCTAACTAGCTCCTCTTGTGTAAGTGATGCCCCCCTATGTAACATAGGCATATGTTAAATCTCAGCCAGGGCTTAAGTACTGGGGGAAGAATGAGGAGTGGTGGAGGCAGTCCTGGGTTTCTCCAGGCATTATCTGTGTCTTAAATTACCTGCACACATGACTTAAGTAAACGTAGATACTGGTTAAGATTTCTGACTCTTGTGAGACTGATCTGATGATCTGACCCTTTGTACATTGTCAGCTCTCTAAGAGGTTTTGTGGCTCTGATTTCTGGCTCACCCACAACAGAGTAAGCCCTCAGGAGTGTAAAGCTAGATCTTGCGGGTCCTCCAAAAAAATGGCTCTCCAGGCACTTGGTAAACGCTATAAGCTATGACGGTCTCCATATGTGCACCATCAGACCTCCTTCCACCGTTCCCCCCCCTCCCATTGACCAAACACTGTTCTACCCTCAGAGCCTTTGTCCTGTTCCCCTGAACCTGACGAAATCCAAGGTGGCTGGCTCTGATGTAGGAAAGACATTAGGGTTCAAAGTCTATGGCCAAGAAAGAATTGAGATGTCTTTGGTGCAAAAAGGTTTTATTAAAGCACCGGGACAGGACCTGTGGGCAGAAAGAGCTGCACTGGGGTCATGAGGAGTGGCCCATTATAGACTTGGGAGGCAGTATGGGATAGAGTAGATCTCTACAGGATTTTAGAAGCAAGGTTTCCCCTTGAGGGGGCTAGCTGTTGTTAGGAAGAAGTCATGTATTACCATCTAATAAAACCTGAGTCACGAGACCCTTCAGATGTGTGTCAGTGGGTCATATGCTTGGATGATTGCCAACATATACCTTGGAGGGTAGAGAGAGAAAAGTTTCCAAAGGAATGTTTATATGTTAAAGTGGACTTACAGGATCCTGAGGGTTGGGCTAAGATTGCCTTTGCCCTCAGCAAAGTATTAACATCAAGGCAGCTGAGTCCCTAGGGAAGGAAGGTCGCTCTGCCTGTTTTCAAGGACCCATCATTAATGGGCTGTAGGTGGTAAGGAAATTTTCCTTTTGCCTTTCCCACATCAGCTCCCTTGTCCCTTTCAGGTTTTCCCTTTCCCAGTGAAACTGTCCCTGACCACCCCAAGGCTGCCTCAGCCCTGGAATACTGTAGAGCAGACCTCCTTCAGACCACAGCCTATTCCCCCTTCTCACACATACACACTGGTACATCAATTTATTCACTGATACATCTCTCAACATACAGACGCTTAAGCTCCTGAGAACAGAGGGGCTTCATGGTTTGCCCACTGCCATCCCCACCATACTGAGCGGTACCTGACAAAGTAGGCTCTTCAGCACCTGTGAAATGGTTTGGGCTCTACCCCACATGTACATTTAGCCTAAAAGAAGTCAGCCCCAAATATTCTGCAATCCACTTTTATTTCCTTCTATGCCATGGATCATTTGCATGTGTTTTTATTACGGGCTTTGTGAATTGCTCTGTATAGTTCATTTTTAACTCCATTAGGGTCAGAGAACAATGCCTTATTTTATGCAACTGTTTTCTGTATGGCCTAGTTCATAATCAACTGCAATCAAGTATACTGGAAAGCAAGGAGGGTGGCCAGTTTGTTGGATGTGGCATATACATCTAGTTTTCTAGGGATCCCTGGGTGGCGCAGCAGTTTGGCGCCTGCCTTTGGCCCAGGGCACGATCCTGGAAACCCGGGATCGAATCCCACATCAGGCTCCCGGTGCATGGATCCTGCTTCTCCCTCTGCCTATGTCTCTGCCTCTCTCTGTGTGTGTGACTATCATAAATTAAAAAAAAAAAAAAAAATCTAGTTTTCTAATTGCCAAGTTCAAATTCCCATATTTATCTGATTCAGTGTAGAATACTTCGGCACAGATAGTTGTGTTATGCCAAGTAAAGAACCCTCTGGGTGCAGTTAACATTCTAGTGAAAGGCCCCATTGCAGACAGCAAGCTCTTCATTACCTTAAGGCTGATGAGCATTGTTCCTGAAAACAACGGGTCCAACAGTGGCTTAAGAGTGACTGAGTTTAGAAAGGTCTCTCATTCATAAAACTAGTGTTGTTCAAGGTATGATGGAGTTCAGATAGAGTATTCAGGGGTGCTCCCACCCCCACGTACAGGTCAGGTTACCTGGTGACGCCCAGGTGTGCCTGAGGCTCATCCCTACAGCAGCACTGTGTCTGGCCCCTGGCAAGAGGGACACAATACAGTCCCTGGAACTCTCCCTTCAGAGGTCCCGGAACGTACAGAGTCCTAGAAGTCCACCACGCTTCCCTAACAGGTAACAGGCTGCAGGAGCTGTCTCTCGCTGTTTTCACTGCCATCCACTGTGAGGCTGACAGGGTTGACAGTTGGCACTAACTCCGCCTGAGAGAAAAAACCTGCATGCTATAGAGACGAGACGGCTCAGGGCAGGTGCCAGTGCCCACTGTATGGCACGTCCATTTCTCTTCACAGGTCAGCTTGGGGTCACATTAATAGATGTTTTTCGTAGGTGAACACCAATTCTTGTTCCATCCTGTTAGTTACCAATAAAGCACATTGTTTTTTAACGTTCTCATCTTCTGTTTCTGCTGATACAGCACATGCATATATAATTAAGTCTATAACTGGATGTGCTTGGTACGTTCTGCTTTTTAGATTTGTTTCCATTACAAAGTATATGAAATCAAACTAGAGATTAAACAGCCATAAAGCTTTATCAAGTCTTAACATGGTTTATTTTTCAAGATGACCAGAAACCTTTGACAGGAAGATGTTTTTCAAATGCCAATCTCCTGAATAAAAAACCAATATACACCAGAGCCTAGAAAAATTGATCATTGTTCTGTTCTGCCAAATTTTCAGAGGATTTGTCACTGGGAATTGTCGTCATCCATTTGGGCGGCTCATGAACAAGGATTTATCTCTCTCAGTTCAGGATGCTGGAAGCCCAAGCACAGGGTTCAGATGTGGTCAGGTTCTGGCGAGAGCCCTCTTGTGGCTGCAGCCTGCAAATGCTGTGTCTTCACCAGGCAGAAGGAGCCAGGGAGCTCGGTGGGGCCTCTCTTCAGGGCACTGACCCCATTCCCAAGGGCTCCACCCTCCTGACCTAAGCACCTCCTGAGACCCCCACTCTTACTGTCATCATAACGGAGGTCAGCATTGGAACACATAAGTTTGGAGAGACATAAATATTCAGAATGCAGCAGGAATTTTAAAAATACAAGAATGTTAATTTAAGCAGGCATTTTAAGCCTAGGATACAATTTGAATGACATCATGGGGTTAAGACAATGTAGAAAAACTAAAAATATGCTAAAAGGAGCACAGAGGAAGAGGAGGGGTGTTTTACTAAACTATGTACTTGCTCGCACCTATAAACTGAATGCAGATTTCCCTAAATTCTAGAACTGTTATATTAAGAAGTAATAGTGATAAAAGTCCTATATAATAGAATTTTAAAATATAATACACATCTCTAAAATCATTTTTTTTTTAATTTTTTTAAATCATTTAAAAAATATCTAAGTATTACTTTGATTTTTTTTTTATCAGAAATATAGTTTCGGTAATAAATAAGCATTTGATGAAGTTATACAGATCTTCCTTAACTTGTAGTGAAATAATGGATAAATCCATTTTAAGTTGAAAACACTGTTAGGTCAAAAAACATTTAATACCCCGGACTTCACAGCTTGGCCTCAAACGTGCTCACAGCAGTTACATGAGTGGACAGTCACATAATAGTATCTCGTGTAATTTACTCAATACCACACCGAAAGTGATAAGATGGTTGTGTGGGTACAGAAGGTTGTTGACACTGGGACTGCTGCCCTTGCCCAGCACCAGGACAGAGTATGTTATTATCTGCCACAAGCCCGGGAAAACACTCAAAATCTGAACTACAGTTCTTACTGAATGCGTTTGGCTTTCATACACATTCAGTGTAAATCCTAAGTCAGGGACTGCCTGTATAAACAAGTTATCAGATATACTTTGCATAGTTAATTTTAATACAATAGGAATAATCTTTAGAGTTCATGTCAGAATAAATTATTTTTACCTTATTTTTAAAAACTGGCAACAGTAAGTTCAGAAGCTTTAACCATCTGCGTGGCTAGCTAATGCCCATGTCTGTGCTGGGAAGCCTCATCACAGACATGCAGACGTACTCCCTGTGATTCTCCAGGATGCAGCGGCCACGGTGGGTGGGGATGGGGGTGCTGGTGCAGAAGGGCTGCCCCTCAGTGCAGGCGGCCTCCACGCTAAAGCAGTGTGGGGAGCACAGAGGCACTGATGGAAAACCCATGGGAAGTCTGCTATAAAGGTAAGTGGTCCACTCCCACTGTACTTCTTCCAAAGTTAAATTGTTTTTAATTTTAAAAATTAAAAGTCTCCATTTCAGTAAAACTGTCTTTTAGTACTTTAAGCCAAAAAAGCATCATTCTCTTCCTTCATTTTCTGATTTTATGACCAAATATCCTGAAGGTATCGTTTTTCCTCTTTTAAAGTAGCCAATCTTTTCATTGCTTCTAGTGTTTCAACTCCAGCCTGTTTGCTTATTATTTCCACAAGGGTATCATTGACATCTTTGGCCATATTCTTAGCATCTCTAGAAAAAATAATAGCATTGATGTTTAGGAAACAAGAATTTTTACCAAAGCCTTCATAATTCACAAATCTAATTCCCACTGACTCCACCCTCCCCCCCACCCTGGCACTCTACTTCTCTGGGAAGCGTCCCAACAGGTGTCCCAGCCCGCCACCCATCAGGCCTCCACCCAGTGACGAATCCAATTTGCAAAGCTGACCACATCATTCATAGCTGAAAACCCCTCAGAGGCATCCATGCTCCAGGAACAGCCGAGTCTCCAGTAAGCATCTAAGGACCTTATAAACCTGGCTCTTGCTCATCTCTCTCATCCCCTCCCTTCAGTCTACTGGCACACAGCAGAACTTGCATTCCCAAGGGCAACAATGTTTTTTTACACGTATAAGCCTTCAAATACACACACAAACACACACGTGTACACACGTGTGTGCACGTGCACACAAGACACAATTACTGAAAACTCAACTATGGACCTGACTCAGTTTGAAGTGCTTTGACATGTTTTAGCTTATTCATTTACAAGACAGGGCGAGGAGGCCCCCGGTGTGCCCCTGTAGGCCGCGACGTGCACCTGCTATAGGTGACCACCCGCTATGTGAGCACCTGCTAATGTGGCTTCCCCACCAGGGAGAGTAAGCTGTCTATGGGCAGGGAATGTGTCTCACTTCACCTCACATCTCTCAACATCTGAACTGTGCCAAAGCACTCAGGAAGCACCAAATGCTGTTGAATGAGTGAAAGCGTAGGACAGGACACTAATGTCAACAGAACTTGTTCTACCCCTATAGTAATATTTCTTGAAAAAGGTATCTCTGGTGGTCACCCTGACTTCCACGTCATGCTCTCCCCTCAGCCACTGCAACAGAGCTTCCATCCCCACAGCCCTTTCCCCACAGCACAGTGCTGCTAACTGCTAAACCTACTGGTCTCCTCTGGACAGCAGAAGGCTCCCCAGCTTGTGTCCCCTGGGCTTAGAGACAAGGTCACTCCTGCTGAGGGACTGGTCCTGGTGAGGACACCATGAGGTCTTTTTTGTTCTGAGCCCCCATCACTGACCATTGTCATGAACACTACCAACTCCACTGTGCAGACAGATGGAAGAAGTGAAGCATCAGTGATTGAAAAGAGAAATTTCTGGGTTAACATGTTAAGAATTTGGACACTTAAGATATCCTCCAAGTTCTCATTTACCAGTTATTCACATATTTGTACAAGTGATTTTGCCTCTATTAGTTGGAAGTGCATTTTCAACGTTGAGAGCTCCACCCTCTACAAAGTGAAGGTCAAATACTTCTTTAAAAGGTAAATGAAAATATAAACCAGCACAATGTCCAGAATCTATGCCCTTTATCAACATAAAGCAGGGTTTCTCAAGTAAGAGTCAAAAAATCCATTAATAGGTCATAAAATCAACTTAGGAGGCAAAATCAGCTTTTTAAAACAAACAAACAAACAAAAAACAGTAAGAAGTTATCACAAAGTGTCATGAGAAATAAATAGAAAAGGTTCTGTTTTGGGGCATCTGGGTAACTCAGTGGTTGAGTGTCTGCCTTTGGCTCAGGTCCTGATCCTGGTGTCCTGGGATCGGGCTCTCTGCAGGGAACCTGCCTCTCTCTGTGTCTCTCTCATGAATAAATAAAATCTTAAAAAAAGAAAAAAAAGTTCTGTTTTATAAAACTTATTTCTATTATACCTATTCTATGTCCCTATAACAGTATTTCCTCTTTGGTATCACAGTTAAAAACAAAAAACAAGAAAAAGCCATCTGATTTGGTGATGTACAGAGTATTTTAAATGCCTGAGATGCATCAAAATTAAAAAGAGCTATTTCTTACTCGAAAGTCCTTTTCAGTTAGCATAATTTTTTTGAATTCCATTTAAACAAGTTGGTAAGTTTCTACAATTTTTCTTTTTATGGCAATTTTGGCTTTCTATAACAAATTTTGCCTCAGAAAGTATATAAAAGAACATAAAAATGATTCCTGGTTTTTGACAACTTTGACATTACAAATTATGTCTTTAAAAAAAAAAAAGGATCTTTAGATCCACATTCTCAGAGTAAAAACAATGGTTTTCCTGAGCCAGGTTAACTGCACAAATCACGTATACTTGGATACAAGAAAATCAATCCTGAGACTTCAAGTTAAATGATTAGCATCCTAACACCAAATATAAAACAAATAAAACTTTCAGAGGCTCCTCGATATGGCACAATGCGTTCTGAAATGCAAGAACTGATTTCACTTGTATTTCCCTGATAATGACAACTAAATGTATGTTAGAAGCATTTTAGAACTTGTATTTCTATTCCTGTACTTAACCTGCTTAACAGATTATTAACAGTCCCTAGTTCATTTAACAAATATTACCAACAGCCTTCTCCTACCCGGCATTTGAGTGATGGTCACTTACCCACACACATAAATATAGCCGCTTTCATTAAGAAGGACCCTTGCCACCTGTTCACTGTGAAGCTGGATGTTATCTTGCACATACTTCACTGGGGCTGCTTCTTCCCCAACAGGAGCATCTCTTGAGAAGGAAACCTTCAAGTGAGTTAGGATTCCACGCTTGTGGAAATATCTGAGTTCTTCTCTGAAATTTAATGTATAATGGGTTAGTGTACTGAAAGGTTTTATCATTTAAAGTTAAAAGCTCTGAAATTAGACTGTATACCCACTGTGGAGTCTCACAATACTAGAAGTGTACAGTACCTGAATAAATAATCCCTATCTTTATGTCGACAGCCAAAAAACAACCACGTTGCTCCAAAGTGTCCCTCTGGATGTTGTTCTTGGAGTTTCTCTCTATGTGGAAAGTTGAGATGTTTGATACAAAGAATACATAAAACCAATCTATTTGATCAGAAATACCACCAACAAACTCGCCATCACTGCAAGTCCTGCCCACAGGGCTCCTCAGTCCCTCCAGCAGACACTCTGACAACCACCCACATCCGTGAACTACAGACACCTGCAAGCTCTGCATGGCATCTATGAGGGTAATTCAAATATCAAATATCACAGTATGAAAACTACACTAATTTCTACATTAAATATTAATTTTATTCACAAAGTTGCTATTAACTCTCAATTAATGTTATGGAAACGTGGCCCAGGGCTTCAAATGGTAGAATGATCTGCTGTAACAACATGCCAAGGAGACACGCCAAGTATGTCTGCCATTACTCTATGCTTCTTTAAAGAAAAAAACTAAAAACAAAATAAAAACAAGAAAAAGACTTTGTCCAAAGGATATTACACCACTATCTGGGGACCAGCACACAAAGAATTGTTCATTATTTCACAAGCAGGGAGAGAAGTACAATTTATATCAAATAGTTCTATAGGATTTGAAGATGCATCTGGTAATACCAATCTACTGAAAATTACTGATGTTTGGGTTTAACTCTGAAACTTTTGCTATAATTGGATCTGTTAGTAGCAATGTTATCTCGTTAAGGGAGAGATGGAACAGTATGTACATCATCACAGCATAAAGGTATGCCTGAAATTTGTCCCCAACTACGTATGTTATAAACTATAGTGCAGCTGGGGGAAAAAAAAGAAAAATAAAGTGCTACAGTAAAAAGGGAAATTCTGACACAAAACAAAACCTCTGGAAGATATCACATTTACTTTTCCCATGGTGACAAATTATGCTATGCTATCACACATTTGATAATAATAATTTTTTAAAATAAAAATTTTACAACCAAAATCCAATATCCAAAAAAATCACTGAAGAAACAAAAAAAGCTATTATATTTCCACCCAGGATCATAAGGGATACATTTTCTCATTAGTCAAAGAAAGCACACACCTGTGTTGCAGAAAACCAATGAAGGGCGCTATGCCAGTTCCCGGACCCACCATTATGATGGGGGCTGAGGGGTCACTTGGTAAATGGAAGAAATTGGTTGTTCGAGGACAGATGGATATCTAGAATATTAAACCAATATTCATAAGTCTGAAAGAAAACCTAGACAAAGGCATACAACCAAGATGACTTTTGCTGAAGAAATTAAATAGCATTAAATCTTACTGAAACCATTAATGCACCTGTCACTACTGAGAGAAAAAACAAGTTTGTCTTGCAAATTTTTCTTTCCCATCGAAATCAAAGGTCGTTAAAAAATGACAGGCATATTTCTAAGGTAGAACACTGAATAGATACAATCCAATTCTTTCCCTAGGCCTATGAATAAGGTCTGCTTTCTAGTAGGCAACCCATTATCTGTATTACGGAGAAATGCAAGAAAACTAAAGCTAAGATTCTCTGTTGGGAAAAAAAAAAAAAAAAGATTCTCTGTTTGCATGTAAGGGGCAATGAAGATCACATCAAGATGGAGTGAGAGTTTCAGGGGCAAATTGACACCTGAAGGAAAAATGAGGGAAGTCACTCCCAGGATGCCGAGGAGCTGTGCTGTGTTTGTTAATCTGGGTTCAATGTTATGTGTTTGTGCAAAACTAGAAGAATAAATAGTATACACAGATAAACACAATCTTTTTGCTAAAATTTCAAAAGATTTCCCTTCTAAATCATGTGCCAGGGATACGTACATACAAGGAATCCATTTCTAAATGTATTTCAGTTCCAGTGTCACTTCACCAAGTGCATGAGTTCTACTGAGTGGCAGGAATCTATTCTCTGTGTAACTGTATACATTTATATGTATACATTTTAATCTTCAATGTAAGGAAAACCTGTTCATTAACAGGATGAACACCAGACCTTGTAAAGGAAGAATTGGCAGAGCGGTATCAGATGAGGGTTTGCGTTCTGGAACAAGACTGTAATTCATCTCACACTCGTCTCATTTGACCCACTCACTCATCAGTCTTATTGACGGTACTCAACACAACCACTACAGATAGAGAAATGAACAAAATCGCTGTCCTCATGGACTTATGCTCTAGTGGAGGAAGAGACAATAATCAAACATTTATCTGTAAAATGACTGGTAACGATAAGACTCGTGAAGTAAAGTCAGATAGTTTACACTGGGTGTGACAGGGGTGTGCTAATGAGAACACATAGCCTGTGTACTAGGGACTGCAAGGAGAGCAGGATTAGTCCACTCTTGCTGCAGTAAATCTCAGACGGTTTATATTACCAAACACTTCTCCCTGGTTCTCCTTAAATGCTATAGGTGGGCTACAGTTCTGCACCAAAGACCTCCTCTGCTTGCATCCACGCCCAAGGAGCATCCCTGACCTGCAACATCCCATCCTTAGTCAAAGAGGAGAAAGAGGCAAGCCACATAAGTGAGTTCAATGCTCCTGCTTAGATGGAGCATATATCCTGTCTGCTCACATCTCTCCAGCAGAATACGGTCACACAGTCAGACTACACATTGATGGGCAGGGCATCTATGCCTCCCAAGGACAGGGCATATCTGTCAGCAGTTGCCCCATCTGCCAGTTGGGGTTGGATTTGGGTGGGTTGTGTGAATATTAACATTCCCTACACGTCCTCATAAAATACATATGGCACTAAACACCATTCAATTTAAATTGTATCCTTATTCCTATATTTCTAATCTTTGAATACTAGAAAGTCTATAATAAAGATCTGGTAAAATGGAGAAAGGAGAAAGAAAAAGGCAGAAGGGAGGAAATGTGTGAGTGGCATCCATGATGGGTGTTTGTGATGTTATATATATTTAACTTTCTGGAGATTATCCATTTTTATAGGATCATAAAATGACATAATACTCTCATGTCAGTACTGTAATATTCTTTCCTTCTCAGAAAAGGAACAGCGTCTCAGGTTCTTAATATTTTGTTGATGCATCGTGACCTAGGAATATGGTGGAGGGAGGGGTGAGGGTCTCTCTCTCTCTCTCTCAGGCACCTGTGTGAGGCTGCTGCTTGGGAAAATACCACGGTAAAGGGCAATTTCAAGCAGCAGCTTCCCATGAGCCCTTTCAAGTATATACTGAAGTCTTACCTTCCCCTTAGGGCATGAACTTTTCAACTCCAATAACTTACAGCAACCAAACTAGTCCTAAGATAATGCTACAAATGACATGTTCATTTTTTCAATACCACAGAGGACTTCAAGATAAAGCCTGAATTTTTTTTTTTTAATTTCAACCATCTTTATTATGGGCAAGGAAGGACTTTAAATTGTTCCTTATGCTGTGGCCTTAAGTAAGATTTGCCAAGTGCAGTATCAAAACATGAAGGATGGCACTAAGTCCAGATACAAATTTGTCTGTCCATGGTCTGCTCACAGAATCAAGTCACATTTCATCCTCCCTGTTTTAAGTGCTTTCCCTCTCATCATGCCTTCATACTATAGCACTAACTTGGATTTTATACTACGTCTAAAACAAAAGGGAAGAAATGGGGCAAAACCCTAATACCCAAAACTGAAGGATATAAAATTAATCTTTGGTTGTCAACTGATCACCAAGCAAGGACTCTAAGGAGGCAAACCGCATAATTTTAATAATGCCCAACTGCACACTCCCAGTACCTCAGGAGCCGGAGCTTTCCCGTCTTCTGCAGGGGACACTCGTGTGTTTGGATGAAGAATTGGCGCAACCACCATGGCCAGCCAGCCTGTGCACACGCCCTTCCGCAGAACCTCCAAGGTGGTGTTAGACAGAAACTCCACAATGTTAAAAATGAAATGAAGCTTCCCTGGGTGAGACAGGTTTGAGCTGAAGAGACACAGGTCAGGTTTAAACTCTGTATCAGGACTAACGCATTCAAGCCAGACACAAGTCTTTCTTCCTGAATTGATGGATATTTCCCATGGGCTCTAATCTACCTTCTAAATCTTCAGGGAAAAGAGTCTGCTGCTACTGAAAAGCTCCTCCTCTCTTGCCCCGTTTTTGTGATATTCAAAAAAATTTCCAATCACATGTTTTACTTTAGGACTCTGTAAGATTTATACAACCTTCCATCTCTGCACTGCCCACCTCTGCTGTCCAGTGGAGATGGTCTGGCACAATAGTCAAGGCAGCAGGTAGAGGACCAGGGCACTCAGCAGCCCTACGTGGAGAAACGTGGTTGTGGACCAGGGCTGCCGCTGGAGATTCCACGCTCTCTGAACTTCTGCAGAACAGGAGTCCCAGGACCGGTCCCCTTCATTCCTTACCACACCTGCTACTGTCTTCCACTAATTAGGTAAGTTTTTACCAGGTGAATTCAGAATAAGGATTTGGAAGCCAAAGATTCACAACATTTTGGGAGAAAGATTCTATGTGCTAAAAAATATCAGTACCTTGCACATGAATATGGTCTGGGCTGAAGCTTAGGAAGATGTTCTAGAAAAAAAAAATAAAGATAAGCAATTAATTCACCACTACTGAAAATAAATTATGTAAGGTTTTGTAAAAATTCAAGTCTGAGTTGCATTTCATTTTCTTGTTTAGAACACCCAAAATAACATTTTAATTTAAATGTTTTAGAGCAAGCTGTAAATTCACTGTAACTAAGTCATTACTATTTTTTTTCCCCAATTCCTCACATTAAAAACCAGACATATTGCATTTCTTTACCTGAAATCAGCGTCCTTCTCAAGGCTGGTCTTAAACAGAAGGATAATAAAAGCATCCATGAGTGGGCTTCAGAATCAAGAAACCTATTAAATTTTCTGTGTGTACACAGTTTTCTGAAGTGTCTGGAGTTTTCATGTTTGAAATAAGATCATGACCTCCAAAAGATCACTATTTTACGGATTATGGGAAATACCTAGGCTTGAAATCTTTTTCCTCCTTAATAAAAGAAAGGAAATATTTTTCCTTCTTATATTTCTATAACAACAGAAAATGGGAGGGTAGAGGTAAAGCCTTTAAGTTATCCAGAACCCAGTGGTTTCTAGATACACTGGAGCTCTTTTAAAAGGTCAAAGAATCAATCTGACAAAAATTTGGAAAGACCTTTCTAAAATTTAATAAGTAACAGAATAAGGCTTAACAGAGGGCTCGACATAATACTAAGTGTTAGATACATTAAGTTTACTTTAAAAAGTGCAAAATAAATTTTTAAGTTTGAATGCCTTCATTAGTTTTTTATAGACTACACAATAAATGCTGTATAAAAGCTAAGAAAACAGCAAATCCATGAAAGGAACTAAAACATATTCTCACATGTTGGATAGCTATACAAGAGTTCTTACAACTTCCCTACAGATGTTCTGATTATTCTCCCAACCCTGTATTCACTCTAAAGACTCAACTGAGACAGAGAGGAGTATGTGTGTCTGAAGAGCCACCTTGCTTAGTAACTTCACCTTTTTGAGAAGGAAAAGGAATTGTAAAAGTGAGAGAAAGCAGGATCTGACTTAATAAAGGAGAGCACCCCTAACTGTACTGGACATTGGGAGACCCTGTGGCCTAAAAGTAAAAAACACTATACACGTTTTCCTATCACCAAAGATAAATGCAAATCTTTTTTTTTCTTCTTAAGATTTATTCATGAGAGACACACATACAGAGAGAGAGAGAGAGAGAGAGAGAGAGAGAGAGAGAGGAACAGACACAGGCAGAGGGAGAAGCAGGCTCCATGCAGGGAGCCCGATGTGGGACTCGAGCCCGGGTCTTCAGGATCACACTGTGGGTTGAAGGCAGCGCTAAACCAATAAGCCACCTGGGCTGCCCAATAAATGCAAATCTTAAAGATTTTATTACTTATCACTACAGGAAAAGAGAGAGGAAAGGATAAAAGTACCAGCACAGGAAAGTTCTCAAGGTTTAAAAATCCTGTCAAGGGGATCCCTGGGTGGTGCAGCGGTTTAGCGCCTGCCTTTGGCCCAGGGCGCGATCCTGGAGACCCGGGATCGAGTCCCACGTCAAGCTCCCGGTGCATGGAGCCTGCTTCTCCATAATGTCTCTGCCTCTCTCTCTCTCTCTGTGTGACTATCATAAATAACTAAAAAATTAAATTAAATTAAATTAAATTAAATTAAATTAAATTAAATTAAATTAAAAATTAAAAAAAAAATCCTGTCGAATTCTCAGTCATTGCCCTCTGTCAGTGTCTCCAATTCCTACAGAGGCTGCCATTGAAAGCCCTCCCCTGGCCAGCACTGCAGAGAGGATCTTCTCTCTTCTGTTGGAATGAAGACCCCACGAGACAATGAGAACAAAAACTAGAATCATCTTATATTGGACTATTTGATGACAAGTCTCCTGCAAGCTTCAAGCCTGGAGCCATCCTGAAAAGGCCACCTGCACTGGTACAACATGAAGGGTCCCCGTCACCCTTGGAGAACACGGAGCTAAACTTGCCCAGAGGGTGACATTTTTGTATTCTGCATAGACAATATACTTCATTATCCTTTGTCAGTTACATTTAGGGTTCATCAGTTTTGAAAAAAAACAAATTTTTTTTTCCCTTGGGACACTCGCTTTTAGGTAATATTTGACTAAAAAAAATTCTTTCTGAAAATAGCTAAGTTAATAGAAAAGATGCTGAATGCTGATCCAAAGAAAGATAATTAAGACTGGCTATAGTAAGAGAGCAAATGCTAGTGACAATGGGAGAGGGAAGACATAAAGAGATAATCCTGGCAGAGGGATTCTTTCCAACTTCTTGGAGGCCCTGAGGACAAACCAATGTTTCCTCCCGGAGACACATTCTCACATGCCAGACAGACTCCAGAGTGCTCTGTACAAAAAGGCTCCTTGGGTACAGGGGCCAGGAGCATGGCTACTCACCAAGCAGGAGACTGAGTGGCGGCTGGCAGGACGGGAAAGCGAGGAGGAGGTCTAACACACTGGCATGGGCATCTCGCACAAAACGGCTGTAATCGGCTGCACCCTGCCGACTGCACAGCTCCTGCAGCCTTCGCTTCTCTATCCCGTCACTGGTGTAGTCCACGAGGGCTCTCAACAATGCCTGTGGCCATGGCAAAGCAAGCAGACAGAAAGTATCATGTGTGGTTAGGCTGCTCTACAATCTCTGGTTAGTGTTGACCTGGGGACATCCCAAATTATCCAAGAAAAAGTGACACCACTCTTCTGAGTGGATCAGGAAAAGAGAATTTAACTTACTATTTGCTTTAATGTCAACCTGTTAAGGAAAACCACCCTCCATGTTCTACTTTAGGTTACCTTTCCAGTTTCCTAAACCAATCTAATCAGTCCCAAACATGATCTCAAATTACATGTCTACTCTGAGTAGCAAGAATCAGAAATCTCAAATTCGTTTTAACTCAAGACAAATATTTGCTCGTCTTAGCTGATGATTACAAGCTAGACTTCTATATTCATTTGACAGCTGTTAAGTCCTCTTTATACAACAGGCAGTGAGCACAACACTTCTTTTGCTGGTTAGTGACAGTGTGCAATAGGCTAACGACCCAAACAGGAACACACGCAGAATGCCAGGGACTTCTGCACCCCAGATGCAAGCCTGAGATGAAGGCTGGCCACAGGAGAGGAACAAAAGTGAAGAGGAACTAAGCAGATGGCCCAGTTCCATGAAAGCATGGGCTTCTGGGGCTACGTGCAGTTCAATACGGGTACAGGGCAATGGGGACATGGAACAAAGGCTGAAAAGACAGGCAGGGCCAGAACATCAAGAAGCCTCCTGCACGTGGACTCTCTCTGTCACCTAAGACACACTGTAGAAAGAGAAGAATATAAACAAAGAAAGCAAAGCAATAATATCCTGAATCCCAAGCTCCAAAGAGAGAGGCAAGTCCAAACTCCTGGACAAAAGACCAAATTTGTTAATAACAACTTTTGGTTTCAACATATTCCAAATAGGACATATAGAGCTCTTACCACTCCAGGCTTCTTAAAGAACAAAGCAATGAAGTAATGTACACCAAATTCTAAGTGAAATGCTAACAGGTACTTTTTATTCCAAGGCTTAAGCATCTTCGTGTACTGGACTCCCTTCACAGGGTGGACGAGACCACTCCTCCTGTGAGGGTCACAGGTTTCCAGTGGCTCAGCTCGGAAGCCCTGTCTAAACTATCCTGAGACCAACGAATTGCACACCTTCTTCAAAATGCTGGGCCTGGAACCAAACACGAGACAAGACTGGGAAACCATGTGAGATGAGGGAGCACCCCATGTCTGCGCAGACCCCTGGTAAGGTACAGTTTCCACGCGGGGGTATACAAACTCTCAACTTTTATTTAGGTAAAGACGGCATGTCACAGAACAGCACATATGCTAGAGGACCTTGTTTTTTGTTTAGCAAAACACAATTCAAGTGTTAACCCTAAGGATTTGATTATAAAAGACTGTGGCTTCCCATGTTACTTATTTTGTGTCCACCAGAATTTTTATGATGATATAGAAAAACACGTTTACATATACATGCTTCATTAAATAGTAGAGCTGAACTAAAATTGTGAAACTTGCTGTATTTAATCAAGAAGTTCTCATGACAGTGAAGTCTAAATTTATTCAAATTATATCTAGGACTGAGTTTCTCTCCAAAGGAGTTTGCTTCCCAAAGACTGCATGGAACAAACACATTAGTAAGACAGACCATAAAAAAGGCCTTGAGGAGGGCAGCTATTCAGCTATTTATTCAGCACTATTTATGAGCTTCGGCAAAGCATAGTTGGGAAGTCACCCCCATTCATACCCATTCGAGGGACCGGGTTAGAAGGAATCATTTACAACCATCTTTTAAAATACAGTTCCCAGCATCCTACTGACATCTAGTGGATCATTCTCCCTCCACATTCATCTAAACATCAATATAATCCACGAGAACTTTTCATTTTTCCTGAAGAGTCTGATTTAACAGTAACTATGTACTTTCATATGGAAGAGATCTCAATATTAAATGGGTGGCAAGTAGGGGAAAGCCTGCCCTCTCATAAGCTTTCTGTCATCAATTAGAAAAAGGGTCAAGTGCACCTGGATAACATAACATCATCTGAGGTCACTTTAATCACTAATTAATGCAGCACATCTAGTTAATATCTAGTAAAAATAGGATGAGCACTGGGTATTATTCTGTATGTTGGCAAACTGAACACCAATAAAAAATAAATTTATTATAAAAAAATATCTAGTAAAACTTTAAAAAAATCTCATTTCAACAAAAAACAAAATTTCAATATAAACACAACATAAAAATATCTGTCTATGACAGCTGCAAAGATATCATATACCTTGGGGAACTATTTTGAAAACATGCTATAAAAGCCATACTTGGAAGCCTTCAAAGGGCAAACACCAGATTTAATAAATCCTACACAGAGCTAAGTATACTTTTAGTTACCCAAAGAAAAGTACCTTTTTAGGAACGGCTCGTATTTCAAGGCACCAGGTCAGAATGAACTGGAGAGAACGTCCCTCAGGTATGTGCTGGGGTAAGGCCGCTCCTTTTCAGGTAGACAGGAGAGAGTCCGTGACAAAGAAAGTAAAGGATTAAGAGGTTTTTGCATTCTTAAAAACACAACTGTATACTTTACATTACTGTGCTACCAAGGTACACAATATGATTTGTGGCAATGTTTATGCAGTCAAAAAAATTTCCAAAATGAACATAAGGGGAAAAAAAACTTACAAAAAAAAATAGAAGAATTATAAATTCAATAGTATTATTAGCCACACCTTAATTTACCAAAGATAGATCTTTAGTATCTTTGGTAAGGATACCAAATCTAGGTATACCAAATTAAGAGGGAAATTATCCAAAGCCAAGGAACAAAAAGCCAAGAGATGGCACCTGTCCATTAACACTGTGTATTATTCTCAAAAAGAATTTTAGAACTGATGGAACTCCAATTCAAGGTTGTATGCAAATATATACATATATATATATATATATAAACTATATATATATATAAACTTATATATATATAAACTATATATATATAAAACTTCCTTTAATCATGAAAATAAAATTTTAAGCATTAAATATGCTATGAGAAATACACATGATAAGAAAACTTAAAATTCACATAATAAGTTTACTGTAGGACTACTCTTATGTAACTCAAAAACAAAATAAAGCTAACTGCAAAAAGTTAACCAGTCCAACAATTTACCAGCTTCTTCAAGACTACAGCTACATGCATTTTTACTGTCTAACACTGTTCAAACAGGCATAAAATCTATTATCATCCCACTCAGCATACCTCATGTGAAAGTTAAAAAACCCACAAGCCAGCGAGTGCCTGTGTTCTGCCCACTGACCCATGGCAAGTGCTCGGACCACCTGTGTAGCTGTCACCTAGGGTGCAGGGAGGGGGTCCCCTCCCCTGCACTTGTGACCTCCAACCTGTAGCCCAATGACATCCTAAGAAGAGATCAGGGCTGTACCTTTCTTTTTTGTGTCTGCCTTAATTTTCAAGAGGACACAGTACTCTCTTCTGTCTGTGAGCTGCAGTCTTTCCAGTAGGTTTTGTACCTCAGAATCACTGTTGGGACAGATCACGTTGAAGGCATCTCCAGGTTGATAGGAAAAATCTGTTTTCTAAAGAAGAAACATGAAAAAAAAAAAAGCCCATATTAAACAGTTTTCGTTGTGGGGAAACAAAAGAATGTTTTTTATTATATGATCCTTTTATGAATTAGAAACAAATGATTCTAACTGCAAAAAAACAAGCCCAACTGAACAAATTTACTTTCATTACGAGTTACTTTTTTTCTCTTTTTAAGTAATCTGTATGCCCAACGTGGGGCTCAAATTTACAACCCCAAGATCAAGAGTCACATGCCCATCTGATGCCCCAGGAGTTACTTTATTTTTTTATTTTTTTAAAGATTTTATTTATTTATATACTCATGAGAAACACAGAGAGAAAGAGAGGCAGAGACACAGGCAGAGGAGCAGCAGAAGCAGGCTCCATGCTGGGAGCACGACGTGGGACTCAATCCCAGGTCTCCAGGATCATGCCCTGGGCTGAAGGCGGCACTAAACCACTGAGCCACCGGAGCTGCCCCAGGAGTTACTTTAAAAAAAAAAAAAAAAAAATCAAAGTCATCCAATGTTTTGCTTTATATCACTTCAGTATTTTTTACATTAGTTAAAATCTTTCTCATTTAAGATGCCTAGGTGGGATCCCTGGGTGGCACAGCGGTTTGGCGCCTGCCTTTGGCCTAGGGCGCGATCCTGGAGACCCAGGATCAAATCCCACGTCGGGCTCCCGGTGCATGGAGCCTGCTTCTCTCTCTGCCTGTGTCTCTGACTCTCTCTCTCTCTCTGTGTGTGTGACTATCATAAATAAATAAAGAAAAAAAATATTTTAAAAAAAAGATGCCTAGGTAATATTTTAACAATCAATGTAAAAATCTCTCTTAAGAAAACATACATTATGAAGGAGAGAAACTATTGAAGGCAGTCTGCACTTGTTCTCAGTTTCCTTTCTTTAGGGGAAGAGGAGGGGTGAGAGATGACACGTTATTTTTTCTTACGAAACATAAAAGTTACAGCACCTGGTTGGTACTGTGATGAAGATGGGCTGGAGGAGCCACCTTCCACCTCATGGCTATTTATAACATAAATAGAACAAGGGCAGGATCCAGAGAGACCTCTGACCCCACATGCTCACAGCCCTGGCCTGTGAGGGGCAAAGACTAAACCACCTACTGGCCAACCTTCACCATTTTTATGACAAAAGTATAGAACAGAATAAAAAGCAAAATGCTTTGGTGTACAAAGAACATTTTTTTTAATTTTTTTTATTTATTTATGATAGTCACAGAGAGAGAGAGAGAGAGAGGCAGAGACACAGGCAGAGGGAGAAGCAGGCTCCATGCACCGGGAGCCCGACGTGGGATTCGATCCCGGGTCTCCAGGATCGCACCCTGGGCCAAAGGCAGGCGCCAAACCGCTGCGCCACCCAGGGATCCCTACAAAGAATATTTAACAATATGGATTATTAAAATGTTCCAAAGGAATGCAAAACTACTCAATGATACACAAGCAAACCATGTAGTTTTGATGCCTGTCATTTTTCTCCCTATTAGAAGTTCAAAGACATCTACATGGACAGCCCTGACACAACCTTTTCTGAAAGCACAACCCACTTCTCAGGCCTTCCATTGAAATACAGCTGAGTGACTTTGAAGATGTACTTAAGCACTGAGGTTACAGGATTAGCAATTAGCTTCTTAACTGAGGCTAGTGGTTTGGGGCAGGGGTTGGGCTCATGGATGGAGTTGAGAGAGGCAGCATGTAAGGCCCTGTATATACAAAATGTTTATGCAGAAGGCATGGGCATGGGGGGCAGGGGTGGACCATGACTCTTTCCAGATTCTCAAAGCAATGAGGACCACCACTATGAGAAATGAAGCGTTCTAGGCCGGTCTGGTCTGAGCTCTATTTCTAACTGCTGGCTGACTTCAGGCGAGCAGGTGCCTTTCTCAGGCCTCTTCTCCAGTGGAAAATCCTGTTCTGATTCTAGAACTCTTTCGTGGCTTCCTGAGTAAGGGAGCAACACCATTTTTTCAAGCTGAGTCACCTCCAGGGTCACTCCTCATGTTAGCCCCTTCCTGAAGCGAAAAGAGAACAGGTGGGAGGTGGGGAGGACAGACAGATCAGATATCCTACCAGAGGCTCTCCTCCCTGAGTGTGCAGACTACAACAACACACCAGGCTCCGCACTTCCTGACAACATAATGGTACTGAGAAATAAATTCTCTAACTTACTGAAATGTCCAATTCCACCAGAAGAGTGGTTTTTATGGCATCATTTGTAGTCAGTTGAACTGCTTTTGAAATTGGAACTTGAAAAATTGGATCCACTGAAGTCACAGATGCTTGGCTTTCCTCCTTGAGAAACAAATGTGATAAAGTATTACTAAATACAGTTTCAATTCTACTTGCCATTGCTTCACTTAGTGTCTAGGTAAGATCTACATGATCTTATAAAATATCCTAGATATTTAAGTATTCTTTTCTAAGGCAAATGACTGCAAACAATAGTCTTTCAATCTTTCAGAAAAGACAGCAGCTCATCCATACCTTAAACTCCTTGGCTATTAGACAAATTTCTGGGATATTTATTGGAAATATCAGATATTAGCATTTTCACATAAAGGTCTAATAATCTTCCAAATAAACCATGCAAAAGGAGACTATATGCATGTATGATTTTAGGAAGGAGATTCTAAAGGAAAGGACATGTTTGAAGTTGGGAGACCCCTGCACAGGTGTTCATAAGAACCCAGAGTGGCGGCCAGTGCACTGATCAATACACTGCACTGATCAATACAGAGGCCACTAGCCACATGTGCCTGAGGAACTAAACTCTTTTATTTTTATTTATTTGGATTTAAATGATCATGTATGGCTAGTGGCTCCTGTATTAGATAGCACAGGCCTTGGGAAACTGCAAAGAAGCCAAATTTGTTGTACTATTTCTGCTCCTTTTCTAACTTGATGTTCCTAAGTTCTGTTGCAGATAGAAATTTACAAAATGCTAATCAGTCAATATTGGATAAATGGCTATGTGGAAAAAAATGAGAAAAGGGTTAGAGCCTGACAATCATCACATATGGGGCACTAGCAATGCCCCCCACCTAAGACAGCCTTCAGCAAGGCTGCTGGGAATGCTGTCAACAGAGGGTCCTCGGCCAGCTCATGGTCACCTCTGAGAGGGACTTCAGCATTTCCAGGTCACACCTCCTTTCAAAGGTAGCCCACATCCAATGACTAATCCATGACTATGAAGGCCCAGCCCCTTTGCCCCAAATCAAGACAATGTTGAAGGGCCATCCCAGCTCCAGAGAACCCCGTGAGGGTGGCTGGGGCCTTTGCTGGGATGTATCACAGCCCACTTCTCATTGTGTCCTCTCCGGTTTCTGTCCCCTCCATTTCCCAAGGTGAAGATCCCAAGGGGATAACCTAAAAAATAATCATAAAGTTTGATTCAAAGGAACCCAGTCTGTAACAGCCGGTGCTAGAGTGGTTTCAAGAAAAAAGGCTAAAATGGGAGTTTGGAGCTGGATTACCCACCTGGCTGACAGTGAGCACGCAACACCCGTGAGAGCACAAGGTGACAGTGCAAGAGCAAAGCGGGATGGTGCGCTTTAAAGGGAATGCATTAGCCAGTACACTACAGCTAGTGCGTGAGATCTATGGGGAAATGGCACTGATAAGACCAGCAGAACTGTGGGTTTTGCCAAACCTCATTGACACCTCTGGAAATTATGCAAAAAACTGAGAAAAATTAATCAACAATTAAACACTAAGTGTGAAGCCAGAGAACATCCTCTGTAGCACACAAAGAAGCTGCTCATCTCTTGCAGCCTGACAGAATGCTAAAGGCCTAACGGGCAAAGAATGGCTTCCTGGCAGCGGAGGGAGGACATATGGGTTGATAATCTTGAATCCTTAGATTCCCTTGAACCTGCTGAGCCTGCAGAAATGACTTCCTCCTATGAAGAGCAAGACTTCCTTCTTGCATTAAGACCTCTACAGGATGCGCCCATGCCCCACTCTTGCATCCCATCTCTTCCGACTGCCAGGCCAATGAGGGTTGAGTCATGACACTGCAGGCCACAGATGTGCTGGGCCAACTAACACAGGCGAGGGGCTACGCTCTGAAGAAAGTGTTGGGCGCAGCCACACACACCAGCAGAAGCCAGCAAAGTATGCATGAGACAGAATGTTAAGGTCCTGGACCAAGGAGAGTAGAACATCAACTTGGACAGAAGGGATGTGCTAACTGGGAACACTATCCCAGGACACTGGCTTTAACACCCTGGCCGCAGCCTTCAGAGATGGCTACGAGGACGAGGAGAAAGCAAAAGTCCACACTAAATGAGGCAGAACTGCTGGGACTTCCATGGCCAACATTAGAAGACAGGATTAAAAAGCTCAGAAGTAGACACAATAGAGTGGATGAAACTACGAAGAGTAAAAATCTATCAGATGATGATGTTCCCAGGTGCACCCAGAGCGTATACCACTGCCAAGGCCAGCAGGACAATGCTGGTGAGGGGCACCACAGAGCTGCTCAGGGCTGGCCACTCTCCTGGCCAGAGCTAACAGACTGGGCCAACATTGGGAAAGCCCAAACCACCAAAGAAGAGAGGGAGGTAGGAGCATTTAGCCAGCAAGGCCCTGCGGGGTTGGAGGGAGACATAATTATCACAGTGAGCAGGAAAGGTGGGAGACTTGGCAACACCCCAAAAACTGTACTCAATAAGGCTTCCCAGTCCTTCTCTCAGATGGTAAAAGTACACTAGGCCAAGGGGAACACCACATAACCCAGGAAGCTCTAGAAGAGGGTCCAAGTTATGCTGTTACTCAGGAACTCCCAGTGTCATCATGGGTCATGCACCAGAATGGGGCCTGCAGGGCCAGGCAGTAAACAGGAACCCTGGACCAGGTCCAGTGCCCTGGGTCCACTCAGTTCTTGGCCTATGGTTAAGCGCTATATAGTGGGGAGGCCAAAAGGAAACCTCTGAATATAACACTTCCTCTCCCCTCACGAAGGCAGAAAGTAAAGAATACAGCATCCTGAGGAATGGCAGGTATCAATAGCATCCCTAAAAATGTATAGAACAAGGTATGGTCTCCATCTAATTGACCAACCTGGTCCCTGCAACACCCTAGCGGAACCTGGGGGAGGACAATGAACCACAAGGAACACAAGCCAGCAGTAGCCCCAACTGCAGCCTCCGTGCAGGATGGTTTCCTGGGCTGGAGCAGATTAATATAGCCTCAGGCACATGGCAGCTGGAGAGACTGAACCATTGTGCTCTTTCCCATCTCTATCCCTAAAAAGGACCACACACTTTCACTTGGAACAATTTCCACTTACAATTTTGCTACAAGACTGTGTTAATGCTCCTGCCAGCTGTTTTAACAGTCTGAATCAACACAGAACATCTGGACATTCAGCAAAACATCACACCAGCCCACTACATCAGAGACATTTTGCTAATCAGACTAAAGGTGCAAGCAGTGGCTTGTGTATGAGAGTCTCTGGTAAGGCCCATGCCCTGTGCAGACCGAGGGGCCAGTGCTCTAAATACAATGTCCAGGAGTCCAACATCCTGGGGTGCAACAGGATACCCATTCCAGTAATGGACTAGGCATCTTGTACCTCACTTCACCTGGAGAGTTTATCAGCTGGAAGGCCCTTTAGGATCTAGAGCAACACCTTCCACTAACTGGGACGACTGCTCCGACCCAGACATCAGGTGACACAACAGACAGCCAGCTGTGAGAGGGGTGGAGACCAGGAAAGGGCTGTGCGGCAAATCCAAGGGATGGTATGGTAAGAGGCCCTGCTGCTTATAACCACACGATCCAGAGACCCCACAGGGAAAGAGACACCAGGAATGGGGACCAGATGCTGTATGAAGTGGAACTGGCTGAGCCAACACTAAAGCCCAACTGCCCACTCTGTCCAGTGTTGCTCCCCTTTCCCCTCCTTGGTTCCCTAATGTGAGGATCCCAAGAGGATGCTCTCCCCCAAAAAGTATACATATATGTTTTTCCAACCCCTTTTCCAAGTGTATCCCTTGAGCAAACATACCCAAATAGGCCTTAACTAGCTGAGATTTTTAAAATCTTTCAACCACATTACCAGCAACTGAAGCCTGTTTAATGACACCTGCCATAACAGAAAAGTTCTCAGAGCCTCCTCCTGCTGAACTGCCCTGGCAGGTAAATCACTTTCCACATCCCTCTGCCACACACATCCATACTTGCTACATGGGGCTCTCCACCCTGCCTGTCCACTCCATGCCCACCATCGCCCCACACCCACCATCCAACCCTATGTTTACTAGGGCACTCAGGTCTAGTCCCAAACCTGTAATTACCTCACTTAACGTTTAAATTTGCACAACAATGAGGCATAAGTGGGAAACAATACCTGATAATTGTTTCTATAAACACGTTTATCTGAATCCTTTAGAAGACACTATAAAGAAATGTTAAAAAAAAAAAAAACACTATCCTAACAAGTGTTGGCAAACAGCTCTAATGTACTAGAAAGTTATATTTAAATTGCCTCTCAGATGTCTAAGCCTTGCTTCATTAAAAGTGAATCAAGAAACAAATAGGGATTCTGCACTGAGGGGGTGCGGTTTATGAGAGAAAGCCCACGTGAAACCCCACAATCAGCCACTCTAAAGAAAGAGGGCGTGGCTCTTCATGGAAAGATTGGCTGCAATGGAAATTTATTCTAGGCACGCTGGAAGGAGTTTCAGGATGCCAGATACTGACACAGTAGCCAGACATCAGCTGTTATTCAACCCGATGCTCAAAATTTGCAGACTACTTTAAAGGCACTTCTTTTTTATTTAAATTAAATTTGCCAACATATAGTACATACTTAGTTTCAGATGTAGTTCTTTATTGGTAGAAGAAATACACTTGACAAAAGAAAACTATTTCAAACAGGCAAAAACTAGCCTATAAGGTATTACCAAGATAAAAAATAATCCACAAAGTGAAGCATCCCAGGATATCAAAAGTCCATGCTGGAAAAGAGATCTGACTGTAAATTAGTGCTTCAAGTTTAGCTAAGGTAATCTCCCGAGTGCCCACAGCAACTTGCCACCACCTGACTCACACCTAAAATGAGAAACAATTCTCCAAAATAACAGAGAAACTGAGTTCTTAAGTATCTGCTGCTTCAAAGACAGATGTAATACAAGCACTTCTGCAAGGCACAGGCAAACGTTCTGTAAGGGGCCAGAGAGCAACCATCTCAGGCTCTGACAGCCTCCTGGTAACCACTGAACTCCACCAGTTTAGTGGAGCAGCAGCCACAGACAACATGTGAATGGGCGGGCAGGCTTGTGTTCCTATAAATCTTTACTTCCAAGACATGGGGTGAACCACATTTGACCAGCAAGCCAGTTTGTTGACCTCTGTTGTAATGTAATAAACAACAACAAAGCAGCACCCTTGATAAGTTAATATTCTATAGCATGAGGCATAAAATAAAACCACTTACCTGGCCGACAGACTCCTGCAGATGCACCTGCAAATATTCTGGTGGTAAGGCGGGAATACTCAGAGAGGCTTGTGAGAGTGGGGGTATCGAGTGGGTAAGTGAGGACTCAGATTCTGCTGTCGGAGCACTCGACTGATCTCTATTCACTGCATTCTGTTCCTGAACTTCAGAATCCTTTCTCCCCAGATCATCTAATCTCAGAAGTTCAACTTGTGATTCAATATATAATAATTCTGGTTTCACAGGTTCCATCCTTTGGGAGGCATTAGATGCCATCTTGAGAGCTTCATTCCTCTCTTTTTCTTTACTGGACATAAAGTGCTTCGTGAGGGCAGCCCAAAGTCCGTTAATCCATGGCTCAACCACAAGTTCTAAACTGATGGTTATAACAAAAAAGGAAAAAAAAAAAAAAAACAAATGCCTAAGTTCTCCATTTAAATATATAATAGGAAAATGACAGTCTATTTGGCAGAATGCTATGCAAAAGTCAGAAACACCAAAAATAATGACTATTCAGAAAACATAATATACTCATAATTAAGTTAAAAACATTATTCTGTGTTCATTAGCATTTTAGCTGTAAATAAAATGAGCATAACGGTCAGAAAAGAAATGAAATCATTTTAGTAATAGTAACAGGAATGGCATTGTTCTTGGCTTCTTAAAATGTAGTTGGTAATCTTTATTTCAAAAGTTGTAATTTTAAGTAAGCATGTGAAATTCTCATGAGGTTAAGACACTTAACCCAAATCCAAGTCTACTCTGATATCACATATTCACATATGTCAAATGTACCATTTTTTTTTGCTTAGCTCATTTACTAATTTTTTTTCCCCTATTGATTAAACTATCACCAGGATATCACTCTGGATTAATACTAAGTATTTTGACTAAGTAAACAGTTCAAACCTTCAACTAGTCCTGAACATTTGGTAGTATTTCCAGGGAGTCTAAAGGAAGAAAAAAAAAAACCACACTAATTTTCCTTTAGAAAAGCTGAAAGAATCATAGGTATGTTTTATAATATGGTAGCATATTTACTAATAAACAAAGTAGGATAAGCCAGCAAACAACATTCCCTGTATTCCCTGAACAGTGAAACTTTAAGTACAATAAAAAGAAACCGTCCATCAGAATCTTGGAAAGACCAACCTTCTCATTTTTCATCACAATTCAAAGGACATATCAATTAAATTCTAATTCATAAAGTTAAATAACAGGAAAAGGCATATTTTAGACCTCGGTCTTGTTATGACTCTGGCTATAATCTCATTAGTACACATCCCTCCCTCAGAGCCTTTGGAAAAGCAAGTACATAAAATTCTGGGTTCCACAATGACAGCTACATTTAAAATGCCATTCTTGCAGCTCAGACATATTAAGACGGTAACCCTCCCAGCAAGAGAGCTAACATCCACAAAATACTTAGTAGAGCGTAGACATTATTCTAAGAGGACAACGTGTATCAATTCATCTGTTCCTCCCCAAAACTTTCCAGAACACACACTATTTCCCCCTATTTCGCAGAGTTGTAAAGGTGAAGCACACAAAAGGTAAGTAATATGACCAAGATTTCACAGTCAGTGAAGGGGAGGTGGGGGGTAATCAAGGATCTGCAAGCAGGTAACTAGACTCCACTCTGTGTTCCTAACCCCATCAATGTGCTGGCTGGTACAATAAGCCAGGATATCTCCTTAAAAATAATTTTAGAAGAGGGAAAATTCAAGTGAGGTGGTTAGGTTGAGGAAAACACACTCCGGAATCTTAACACTGAATCCAGTGAATAAACAGGGAAACTGAAAGCCTCTGAAGAGAAGTAAAATATGGACTCAGTGATAGGCCCAACGGGTTCTGTAAGAAGTTAGCAAGTAAATGGCTCATATGAGACAAAAAACACTTAATGGCAACAGGATTCTGGCAAAAACCAAAAACACAAAAAAACGCACAAAAAGATCAATATAGACAGACAAAACATGCAAGGCAATGTAGTAGAGCTTTGTCACAATTCAGAACACGTGTGCTGGGGGTGTGGAAAAAATCCAGCTCATTCCTACCAAGGATGGAGAAAGTGGATGTGGACAGTGGGCTGAGTGAAGAGAAGCGTCCCTAGCACAACCATGCAAGGTGGTACTGTGCAGAAAAGCAAGCACTTGCTGAATTTGTCATCATTCATAAATAAAGGTCAAGTGAGTGAGAAGTTAATATATGCACCAAGAAGGAAAAAAAAAAATCAAGTGGGTGTGCTGTTATTTGCTGAAATAGCAGAAGGCTAAATGATAAACTATGTTGGACAACATCTATTATAAGATCTTTTAATAAACACATAAAGAGGATTTGAAAGATGGCACACAGGGTATAATACTGAACTATAAAAACAAGAGTAAACTAATGGAAACGGGGACTGTATTTCTGCCTAGCACCGTGGCAAGTGCTCATAAAGATGTTAAGGAAGAGAGCCAAAGCACGTAGCATGCCCTAAAGGCCTCTGGTCTGTGTCCTCTGTCAGTGAAGCATGGCCTGCTGGGCACCTTCCCTGTGAAGACCCACAGTGAAGACCCACTCTGTGCACATGGCAGAGAAACAAACATAAAGGCTATTAAAGTTCCTAAAGAGAAGGGAGAAGAAATGTGTGAGAAATATCAGAAAGGGAGACAGAACATAAAGACTTCTAACTCTGGGAAATGAACTAGGGGTGGTGGAGGGGGAGGAGGGTGGGGGGTGGGGGTGAATGGGTGACGGGCACTGAGGGGTACACTTGACGGGATGAGCACTGGGTGTTATTCTGTATGTTGGTAAATTGAACACCAATAAAAATTAATTTATTTAAAAAAAAAAAAATAAAGTTCCTAAAGAAAATGTGGACTCCTACAAATGCCTACACATTTCAAGATAGAGAACTGATCTGTGGCATCTTTTCAAAATTCTTCCATTAGCAGGTATGGAGATGGGTGAGGCGCTTAAAAAAGTCAACGGAATACAAATGTAAATCAAGCTCAGGTTGATCTGTGGTCCTAGGGCTAAAAAAGCTAACAAAATGAAAATATCACTTTCAAAATAAAATCTTCAGTGCCAAGTCAAAAGTCATCACATTTCATAAACTCACAAACTTTCATCTAGTACAAATAAAGGCTGGCTGGAAGTGGCAGAGGAGAAGCACGTTGTTCTTACCCTACACAGTCATCCGCGTGTCCGGTGTCATAGAAATGCTGGGCACCAAGCTCCTGAAGTCGCTTATCAATGATCTTCCCACCGTTACAGAAGTATGTATATTCTGAGTCACCCAGCCCTAAAGAGCACAGATAGACTATTAGTGCACATGTAGTAACATATAAATTCAAAGATTACAGAGCAGATAAATACTTGAAACAATACCATCCCATGCTCTGATTAATAATACACACCTTCACTTTTTCTGACGTAATACTAAGTACGCAAATAACTGTCTTCTATTTCACAATGTTGAAGTATCAAATGCATCCAAACAAAAAAACACTTTTTGGCCATTTGTTAAGAGAATTTCACATTTTTGTAACCTTGAATCTAAGACTATGGAAACCTTTGGCAGCCCGTGTGGCTCAGCGTTTAGCACTGTCTTCAACCCAGGGCCTGATCCTGGAGACCCGGGATTGAGTCCCATGTCAGGCTCCCTGCATGGAGCCTGCTTCTCCCTCTGCCTGTGTCTCTGCCTCTCTCTTTCTGTCTCTCATGAATAAATAAATAAAATCTTTAAAAAAGAATGGAAACCTTAAAACAAGAATTAGGTGAGTTTAAAAAAATGTAACATCTGTATTTGCAGATTTTTCTGATCTGGTGCAAAGGTCTGCAAACTACAGCTAGTGGGTCAAATACCACTCAATAACTCTTCTATAAATAAAGATGTGTTGGAACACAGCCAAGTCCATTTGTTCACATACAGTTTATGGCAGCACTCAAGCTGCAACAGCAAAGTGGTTGTTGTAAAGAACACATGGTCTGCAAAACTTAAAATGTTTACCATCTGGCCTCTAGTGAATTACTGACCCCTAATCAAGAGCATAGAGAGGTGCATCTGCAACATAATCTTTTCCTGTATTTCTGTGTTAGGTGAATGAGGAACTACTTCTGTTTCCTGGTCAGGAAATGGACTAATGGTTTCATGCTCCCTTAAAAATGTTAAATTAAAAGTGTCAATATCTCAGTTGTTTAATCATCTCCATGTACTTTCCCAACAAGAACGGAGTGCGCGATGTGAGGCCATAAATGGCATAACAGTGACTAGAATGGTTGGATACTTTTTTTCAAGATTTTTATTTAAGACAGAGAGAGCATGCATGCACACATGAACAGGGGGTGGGGCAGAAGCTGGCTCCTCACTGAGCAGGGAGCCTGAAATAAGGCTCAATCCCAGGACCCGGCGATCATGACCTGAGCTGAACACAGACAGTTAACCAAATGAGCCACTCAGGTACCTCCAGTTGGATACTTTTTTTGAGGAATTTTTTTAAAGCAATACATACATGTTCATTCTAGAAAATAAAGAAATTAGAAAAACTCGAATAAAAAATATACTCTAAAATACTTTTTTAAAAGCTTTTTTATTTATTCGTTTCAGAAAGACAGAAAGAACACAAGCAGGAGGAGCAGCAAAGGGAGAAACAGACTCCCAAATGAGCTGGGAGCTCAACTTGGGACTAGATCTAGGACCTAGAGATCATGACCTGAGCCAAAAGCTCAACCATGCTTTTGATGGATGACGGTTGATGGATGCTCAACCATCTGAGCCACCCAGATGCCCCTCTAAAATACCCTCTTGAGTAAGTTATACAAAGACAGATCTTAGCCAGGGTCATAACCTCAAATTTCTAATCAGTTACTTATCACAGCATAATTCATCTTTACCAGATACTCTCCCCCCAAATAATTCTCGAAGAAGATTCAAAGAACATAGATCACCAGCTAGTAATATAGGCTCTGAATTCTCTCTGTAGTGTCCTATCTTGCTGAGCTAGTCCTTCTGATCTTTATCATAGTTTTCTAACCTATACTTTACAGAGCTCCAAGCCAGTGTTTCCTAACCTGGGATACACACTCAAATTACTAAAATCACCAGGGAGCTTCTAAAACCACTGATGCCAGGGCCCCACCTCCAAACAATTATGTAAGGATCACTGGAGGTGCCCCCCACCACTGATCCTGACATGTGGCTAGGATTAGGAATCATCCTAGGGCACTGGTTCTTAGGGAGATCAGATCTACATGGGAGTTTTGTTTTGTTTTGTTTTGTTTTTAAACAAAACAAGAAAACAATAAAACAGCATTCACAGTTCAGGGCTTTTTTTAGGGTGGAGGGTGGTAGGGAAACAGCAGCTGATATTCTGAAAACTTTCCTGGTTGAATCTGATGGTTAATGCTACTCTAGGGGCTTCACAGAGGTGCTGCTGTGGGATGGAGATAGGGGAGGCATTCACAGAACACAGCACATTATAGAAATGCATACAATGTGTAGGTGTAAATAAAAAACTAAGAACAAAACCTATACAACTATATACATTCAGATACCAGAATTAAAACCAGTAATAACTGAGCATAGGCAGAGGGCAAACACAGTCCATACCCAGTAATCCATACCGCAGGTGAGCAAAGAAATCTATGGGCAGAGCCTTGTCCTGTATTTCTTTCACGAACTTGCGTGCAGTGTCGGGTGGGTCTCCGGTACCCGTGGTGGAAACCACCACTACAAGAGGTGCCGTTTCGGTTTTCAGATCATACTACAAAACAAGGATGGCATGTCAGGGATCTATGGCTGCACATAGTTTTGACTTAACACATCAGCAAGGCAAGGCTGGCAAACCAGCAAGGCTGGTTAGCTCAGTCTTCTATACCCAGAGCCAGTCATCTGTGCTGCACATGGCTTCACAGCACAGAGGGCGCAGAGCGTTTCCAAGTTGGGAAAGGGCAAATGTTACCCTCATTCCCTCAGGGTCCAGGGAGCTCAGAATACCGAGGGGATAAACAGAGATCAAGCTTCTTCATTCTAATCCTCACTTAAATTTAAATATTCCAAAAAGAGTACTTCACTATCTCTATCTCTAATGACCCCACGAGCTCCACTGCTCATAAGTCTGAGGAATTCACTTATCTTTCATGCAGATACAAGGATCTGAGCTAACATATTACCAGGTGATTCAATGCTTACAGGCTACAGCACAAGCTGTATACCAAAATGACACAGTTTGTTAAAGTACCTTAATCTGGAAAGGACTACCATGACCTAGGAAGTAGAGAGCCATCTGTTTAGACCTGGGTCAGGAACTGGAGAAATCAATCAGCTGGGGAGAGCAAACATGTACTACTCACCTAATTTTCAAATAGCTGCTGACCTAGGTGGTGATGTGACCCCACAGGGCCAAATCAGGGCTAAATGATGCTGACAACTTTGTTTGTAGTAACAGATTCAGATTATATTCTAGCATGTGGTACCTGCAATGCCAACACTGAAGTTACCGCAGAATGACAGGACCTGCTGAGGGTGGTGTTGGGTGAGTGGCTACATCTGAGGTCATCTTGACCCTGACACATAAAGGTTTTCCTATGAACTGAGTTTATAATTCACTTGTGCTGCTGACATCTAGTCCTTTGGACTAGAGACCAGAGGAGGTTATGAACTTGAGTGAGTGTACCAGCAGGGTAACTGTTAAAGTACTGAGCTAAATTTGACTTATATGTGGCTGGCACATTACCTGTGCTTATACAGAAGCTCCTGCCGACGGCTATGGACTGAATTGTAGAAAGCAGTAGAATCTAGAGAACTCAATCAGACAACTGAGAGAAGAATACAGATCTGTTATGACCTTATGTAACCTAAGGCAGGAATTTCTGCAGAGACTGAGCATAAAAATAAGCAGTCCCTGACCTAAAGAAGTTGACTCTTCTCTAGATCCTTACACTTTTACTTTAGGTTCTATTCCACAAAAGCATTGCATGGTCCTTCACTTGGAGGCATTCTGACATGAAGGGCAAGGTTTCTATGTTGGGGAAATACAAACAGGGCACCGGGATTCGCGAGTAGGAAGGCACGCACGTGCGCACGCGCACACACACAACACCTCATTAGGTCTCACAGCCACCCTGTGAGATAAGGCAAGCACTACTACTTCCCCATGATTGAGGAGTAGTTACTGGTCTGTTTTTGACACTGTTCTAACTCAAACCTACACTTATACGTGATAAAAAAAAAAAAAGACAAAAATCTTACAACACAGTTAACAAAATTTCTGTCTTAAAAAAAAAAGGGAGCATGGAGGCTTTCAGTAGCCTACTATGCTGTTTAACATCGCCTCTCAACCAAAATACTTCGCGTATAAAATACAGTAAAAATGAGCAACCGCTTACCTTATCCGACTCGCTAATACAGTGAAGATCTGCAGAAAATCCATGTGCAAATGCTTTTTCACATATTTCTTCTGCTATGGCCTTTGCCTGTCCTTTCTGTGTAGCATAGAGTAACAAAAACCTCCTCATCACCTCACAGCATAGGCTATAAATTAACAATTACCTGAAAAACAGGACAGAAAAAGGGATTTTCTTTTTCACTAAGGAGTACACCACAGGTATTAATCCTGCCTCACAATCTTTTTTAAAAGGTTCCAACAATATCCACATATAATATGAAATAGACTTCTCTGTGTTACGGTAATTGTCAGTGAGTCTAAGAAAGACAGAATTCATCAAACCAGGGAAAATACCGCAGTGAAGCTCTAAGCCCATGGCTCAGAAATCCAACGCTGGGGTCAGACTACCTGCACTTGAATCCAGCATCCATCACGTACAACTGCAGAACCTCAGGCAAGCTTTTCAAATAATCTGTGCCGCAGCTCCCCTACCCTTAGAACGGGGAAAGCAGTACCCACCAGACAAGGATGTGCCAGCTGCAAAGACCTGAAGCAGAGCTGAGACACAGTGGCGCTCAATACACCTCAGACATTTGCATTTTAAAAAAACATAAGAGGAGTCTGCACAGTTTAGTCAATTAAGTGTCTGCCTGCGGCTCCGGTCATGAGCCAGGAGTCCTGCGATGCGGCTGACTTCGGGCTCCCTGCTCAGCAAGGAGGAAGTCTGCTTCTCCCTCTCCCCACCTTCCCTTGGCTCTTGTGCATGCTCTCTCTCAAATAAACAAAACCTTAAAAAAGAAAAAGTAAAAATTCCATTGAAAAGTGTAGGATTCTGTTCCTACATGATCTTAATACCACATAAAGGAATCACAGTCTTGAAGTCAATCAAACTACATACCCTATTGTTTAATTCCCTATCAAACACACAAGTGAGTGCACGGGTATATAATACGAGAGAGAAAACCTTCCCAATCCAGTCAAGCTCAGAACATGTTTTTTTCCTGAAGGGAAAAGCAGGAGTAAGACATGGGACACAGACTTGTTTCCATACTCATCCAGTCTCTAAAGCTGGGGGACTGGTGGGTGCCCGACTGGCTCAGTCCCAGAGGGAGGGTGAGACTCTTCATCTGGGGTGGGGAGCTCGAGCCCCCACGTTGGTGTAGGGACCACTTAAATAAATAAAATCTTAGAAAGAATAAAATAAAGCTTGGAGACTGTCAACTTGCAGGGGCAGATTTCAACAAACCAGGATCAAGTCCTAGCTTTTCTGGAACCGGCCATCAGTAATTTTATGCTCCCCTGACCTGACCACACGAAGGGACAAAGGAAGCCATAAAGAAATTAAACGAATTGTGTCCGGTAACATGTTTAAGACCATGGAATGTCCTGGGGAAGAGAACAGCGCCTGGCACAGAGCATGTGCTCAAGAAATCAGCGGAATGAACCGACGACCCAGTAAATGAAGGCTACGAAGCCGGCACACGTTTTGGGCTCCGCGAGAAGCGTGGAGAGGCAGCGATGGAAAGGTCCCCGCTCCCGGTCACTACAGCTACGGACCTCGAGCTCTTCCCCGGCTCCGGGCACGGCCCCCAGGGCCCCCCGGCCCCCCCCCCGACCCCAGGAGCAGGACGCCCGCAGCCCACCACCTCCAGGCCCACCCCCCCGCACCAAGCAGGTGTGCGGCCCCCCGGCCCCCGCAGGACCCGCGCACGGGGAGAGGCCGGGAGCAGCACCCCCCCCCGGCGGCCCCTCGCCCCGCCCGCCCCCCCCCCAGTCTAGGGAAGTGTCCGGGACGGAGACGCCCACGGGGGCCCACAGGGACCTGCGGGGTCGGCGCCCCGGGGCCCAGGCTCCCGGCACACCCGCGAGCGCCCCGCCAGGCCGCCGGAGGTGGGACGCGGGGGGCACGGAGGCCGGGGCCCTGGTCCGGTCCCCGAGGGCTCGAGTGAGGCGGGCTGCCGCCCCGGGAACGGCAGCCACGGGTCCCACCTGAGGGGCCACCGCAGGGGTCGCTCCCGGAGAGCGCGGGACACAGCCTGCCCGGCTCCGGCGCCTGCGCACTACGTCGCGGCGCGCGCCCCGCCAGCGCGCGGGCCCGAGGAGGCGCCGGGAAGGACCGGGCCAATCACAGCGCTCCGCGCGTGGGCGTGGCCTCCTCCTACGCCTGCGCCGGGCTGCGGGGGGCGGGGCGGCGGAGCGCGCGTACGGAGGCCCGCGAGGCCCTGCTCGGCGCTGCGGCCCCTGCTCGGCGCTGCGGCCGTCGGCGCGGGAGGCCCCCGGCGCGGTAGGTGTCCCCGCGCGGCGTCCGCGGGTCCTCGGCGTGGCCGCCCCCGTGGTTGAGCGCAGGTCCCGCGTGGGGTCCTTCCAGCGCGGGGAGGACGCGGTTCGCAGGGCGCCCGGTCGTGCCCGCCAGTCCACCCAGGGCGCCCGGGTGTCCGCGGACCGCCCCCCTGCCCGCTTCGTGCCTCGCGTCGCCTCACTGCTCTAGGCCCGCCCCGCTCCCCTCGGCCAAGCCGGACCCGTGTCTTGCTCAGCCCCGGCCGGGTCTTGGCCCTTTGGCGCGCGTGTTGACCCTGGTTTGCGTGGACCCGTCGCTGTTTGGCGCCTGCTGATGGCGGCGGGCCGCGCTTTCCGCCAGCCCCTCGGAGGGAGCGAGAGTCCCGGCGCCGCCCCTCGGCCGACCCGGGGCGCCTGCGCCCGCGTCCTGCCGCGTGAGTGGTGGGGGCGGGGGAGCGTGGCAGCACCGCTCGGCGAGGCCCGCCGCTCTCCCGAGCTGGGCGCCTGGGTGCGGGCGCCGCTGCTCCGGTCCTTGTGCTCGGGTGCGAGGCCTTCACGGATCCCGCCTTAGGAGGACGCAGCGCGTGTGGGAGAGCCGTGTTCTGTTTGCGTATGACCGTGTTTTCTGTTTCCTTTAGTTACGAGTCCAGAAAAGCGGGGAGTCCGATGGCATGGCTCTGATCACCTTGCGGAGGAACCTTTGCCATTTATCCGACTTTCGCATACACGGAGCTCTGGCTGCCCTGAAAAATCATCCTGTAAACCATGTTCACAAGATCGCTGAGGAGCGCCTGCCTCCGTGGTTCTGTCCGCTACCGTCGGAGCCCGTCAGGGTCAGGTTCCATCACGCCTGTGGCCAGAAGTTCCACTCAGAGAATGGAAACGACCTCCTCCATCCAGCTGGTGAGCTGGTGTTCCCTCCAGCCCACGACTGGGATACGCCTGAACAAAACCCTAGCCGGGTGGATGAGCAGACGTTTTACGAGAGACTAAACAACCTCACCTCATCAGAAGAAGTGTTGAGTTTTGTAAGTACCCTGCAGGCTTTGCCGGATACTCTGGCAGCAGGGGCCTTACAGCGGATTTGTGACATGGAAAGAAAAGATGGTGATCAAAAGCTGCCCAAAGAAATACTGCAGAATAGTGTCTTCCAAGCCTTATGCGTTCAGCTTGAACAGGAATCCTCGAGTCTGCCAGACGCTGTTTTGGTGACGGCTTTGCAAGCTCTGACTCTGTTGCACGCGGATCCCCAGAGTAGCTTGTTACTGAACCTGGTGGCGGAATGCCAGCGTCGTCTCCAAAGGGGTGGCCTGGAAGTTCACAGTCTTTGTATTCTTGGGGAAAGTCTGATTAAACTTCAAGGTCCAGGCTGTGCGACACTAGAACTGATTATATGTCAACTGCAAGGTGAAAAATTGGAAGAATTTACCCCTGAGGATATTGTGACCCTTTATAGAATACTGCAGGCTTGTACTGTAAAAGTAGACCAACACCAGGCATTTCTAAATAGGATCAACACCTTTTCTCTGTCAGTAGTTTACAGTTTGAGTCCTACATTGATGAGCCAGATGCTCAGTGCCCTCGTGGTTCTTGATCAAACTCAAGCACTTCCTCTGTTTATAAAATTGGGAAAATCTGTTGTGAAGCATATCCCTCATTTTACTAATGAGGAGCTCAGAAAAGTCTTAGAGGCTTTCATATACTTTGGGCACAATGACAGGTTTTTTACAAAAGCCCTGGAGCAGCACGTAGCTTCTGCGTGTCTCACTTTGGGTCCTGACGTTGTCAGCAAAGTCATGGAGTACTGTAGTAGGAAACGGATCCTTTCAAAACCCATCCTCGATGCAGTGGCAGAAACTTTCATTTGCCAGTCAGAAAAATTTTCACCTCACCAGATTTCTGAGCTAATAGAACCATTTGGAAAACTCAATTACTTGCCTCCAAATGCCTCTACTTTATTTAGAAAGCTGGAAAATATGTTGCTCACCCATTTCCATTATTTCCCACCCAAGACACTATTGAAAATTCTCCATTCGTGTTCGCTAATTGAGTGCCATCCAGTCAATTTCATGGCAAAAATATTCAGCCCTCATTTTCTTCAAAAGCTGCAAGGTGAGTTGGTTATAACTTCTGAGGGTGGGAAAAGTAACCCTGGAACGTGTGAGGTTTTCAAGTCGTGTATCTACTTGTGTACTGAGCAATACTCTGCCTTTGTTTTCACTTCCGTAATAACCGAAGGAGGAGGTCTGAAGTGTCAGGTGCTAGTGTGAGCACAGAGTTCCAGAATGACGGAACACCACACAGAGAAAACAGTTTCAGGTAAACAGACTGCCAGCCAGGAGTTTTGTAGGGATGTGACTTGGCTCTGGGAGGACAACATGTCAGAAGCCACAAGAGCAACTGTAGACTTCTTGGTTTTGGAAAGGATAGTGTTGGTCATCTTCACTGATGGCCACCCAGATATGTTAGGTGTCCCTGTCTCCATAGTTAAAGGAAATTCTCATGGATTTTAACATACCTCTAACTTTTCATTATGTTCTGCAGTTTAGAGCCTGAGTTCCTTGGAAGTTAAAATGAGATCTCATTGATGGCAAGCAAGAAGGCATGATTAATTCTGACAAGTTCTTCTCCCAGGGTCCTGTACAAGTACATGGCTGCCGAAGTCATTAGTGTTCATTGTGCATTCCTGGATGTTCCTTTGTTGGGTCACACATACCAAAATCCAAACCTAACTACAACTGGAATGCTTTTTATTTCAGGTGAAGAATTGTATTTGGACCGACTGAGCCTCGCACAGCTGACCCAGCTATTCTTAACCTCAGTCCTAGAATGCCCTTTCTATAAGGTAAGAGCGTGAGTGTGTTGCCTTATTTCCCTGTGGGGACAGCTTTCTTTTGTCCTCCACCCCCCAATTTTTTAAGTTATCTCCTCTTTGGATCTGTCTCAGTAACCTCACCAGAGGGCAGAACTTACATCCACTTGGAGTTACTTGCCACCAGGTAGCCTTTTCTTAGATTAACTGGCCCCAATCCTGTTGGCTTGTCCTTGAAGGACCCATTTCCTACTGTCCTCGAATATTTTGTCAAGTGCCGCAGTCAGAGTGCCCTGGATGCATGCTGAGGGCCATGCAGGGCTTTAGCACTTCCATAGCTGTTAGATACAAAAGTATGAATACCTGGACTGAGCAAATCCTAAATTATTTTGAGAACATTTTTAAGCCAAGCCAGAAGTTTCATTCATCTCTGATAGGGTTTAGGTTAGGTACAATTTGTCTTCCCCCATCTAGTGCTCTACAGATTCGTTCTCCTGCCTTAATCAGGCACCTTGTGTAGGATAACAGACGGCACCTCCAGACTTGCTCGCTCCTGCCTGGTCCCTGGGCTAGACTGAATCACCTTTAAGCGTAGCTTATTTCAGAGTAGGGTGTAAGAATGGAAAGATACCCCTGTTTGCTATAAAGCCCCTTAAATAGTGCTAAGGTACATAAAGGCCAGTGCTACTTACCCCCAGCCTTCCATCCCTGAAGGAGCAGCGTTGGCAGCAGTTTTTTGTGCACACAGGCACGAACACTATCCTGTTTCTCTCATGCCTAGGCTTGGGGCTATTGCAAGGACAGTGTGCTTTTATACACCTGGCACATCATAGACACTCCCAGGGGCAATACATAAAGTATTCTTCTTAAGAAGGGCATGCTATTTCCAGGTATTTATTCCATTCCATCATCGTTGGACTTCCAGGTTTCTCCCAGCGTTTCTCTCTGTCAACGGGCTGTAGTAAACATTGTTACATGTCCTTCCCTACTGGAGCCTTTTTGTTTTTCGATCTAGAGACTAGATTCCTGAAAGTGAGATAACTGCGTTACCTACACACTTTTGCCTCTAATGGTTGCACATGTCCCTTGTCCTGCAGGGAATGAAGATGGCTGTGGCCTTGCCGCTTGCTGCGTGTTATAGGTCCTTTAATTGTTGTCATTTGACTCCGTGGAAAAGACAACCATGTCACTTGTTTAATGAAAAATAATGAGTCAAACATACTTTCATCACAGTGCTTATTGGTTCATGCATGTTTGCTACAAATCCTCTTGTGACCTGACTCCGGTTCCTATTGGGTAGTTTGTCTTTTTTTTTTTTTTTTTTTGAGGGAGAGCACATGTGCACATATATGCAGAGGGAGAGGGGAGCAGAGAGAGAGTGAGAAACTTAAGCAGATCCCATGCTGAACACAGAGCCCAACAAGGGGCTTAATCTCAGGACCCAAAGTCATGACCTGAGCTGAAACCGAGAGTCAGATGTTCAACTGACTGACCTACCCAGGTGCCCCTGTAGTTCTTATTTTTTCATTTGTTTTAATTTAATACTGTTTATATCTTTTTGCTATACAAAAATCTTTTAGTTTTCTGTAGTGAAATCTCTCCATCTTTTATGATTTCTGGATTTGCTCTCTCCAGAATATCTTACCACTCCTAAAATAATATGAATATTTTACTAAATTTTTAAAAGTATCATTTCCCTTCCTGTATTTAGCTCTTTAACTCACTTGGAATTTGTGGTAATCCATGGTGTATGCTAGAACTTTCACATGGTTCTTCTCCAGTTGGATTACCAGTTGCACCATTTACTACATAGCTATCCTTTTCTCCCTAAGGTGAAACATCACCTGTATCATTTTGTCCTTTACTAAAAATGTGAGTGTCCTCAAGGCCCTTAACGCAATTCTAAGAGTTCCAGGGACGTTTCTTGAGCTGTAATAGCGTCATTGTTCCCTTCCTTCGTTTCTTTCTCTGACCACTGACTACTTTTAAAACACTTTTA